CGGGGGCAACACTGAGGGTTGCGATCCGTTGCCGGACACGGAAAAAAGACAAAAGCCAAAAAAAAAAAAAAAAGAAAGAAAAACCTACTGAAACCAGAGATACACCTGAGCCACAGGCATGCCTGAGGGAAAAAGGTCACAAGTGAAAGGCTGGGAGACTGTGTATTCAAACTGCTGAAGTTCTGCCTGAAAAATCTTGCTTCCTTATTTTCTGTTCCTTATATGTTACTAAAGTGCCCAAGTGTATTAATAAGGAAATTCTACCCTTAAAATTCCATCCATTTCAAGAGCAGAGGAAACCTAATCTAACTATCTAGCTTTACAAGGGGAGAACAATCCTTACCCCTGTGAATACGGTTCTCGGGGACATGGACAGCAGTCCCTAGTAGGGCTCTAAGGAATTGACTGTGCACAGAAATTGGCTACAAGAAGCAGCTTCAGGACAATACCTCTTCTCAGAAACATGCTTAGAACACACTGCTATAGTGCTTTTCCCACCTGCCTTGGGAGGTCATTCTAGTTAGTTACTAACAGTAAAAAAACACTATACCTCCCAAGGGCAGAGGAATAGAGAACGGTCACACTGAAAAATGATCAGGTTAAAAGATGAGTATTCTCTAAACAAAACTGAAGGGAACTGATTAAATGCTTCCTGAAAGAGAGACTACATATCCCTAGACATGGATTTCCTGAGTCATTTCTCCTCCATAGTTAGACCTCCATAGAATACCTTCAGAAAGGAATATGTGCCTTCTGTGTATACGATGAAAAGACAGAGTGGGGGTGAAGGAAGATTTACTTACCTGCAGTTTATCCTCATGATTTGTATGAGTGTTAGAGAGATGCCTGAATTCCTGAGTCAGGCGGAAACAGTGCTTTACGTGTTCAGGAGATACAAAGTCTTCTGCTACTTTTATGCAACTGTATAGATTGTGGACCTAGGAGAGGAAAAGTGCAGAGGGAAAACACCAGACATTAGAGATTCAGTAACACATGGAAATTTCTGTAATGCAGTTAAAAAAAATTTAGAAATAATTATAATGTCCATTTTTATAATAATAACAAACACATAAAAACTCTAAGAGCAAATTTATAAATAAAAATGTTGGTATTTGCAGAGAAAATGGTCTAGAAAAAAGTACACAAAACTGTTAACAGTAGTGGTATGGTATAGGTAGTTGAGCTGGGACATGTCACTTTTCTTTTAATAGCCTATATTGTTGAAAATTTTTAAAACAAGCATTTAAAATAACAAGAAAAAATTAAAAAGCAAAAGATAAGTTGCAGCGTAAGAGCAATCAGTCTAATTGAGCCATTTATATCTCTTGCTGGATTAGCAAGAAAAGCAAAAATAAGGAAGCCATGGAGCTGTCAAGCCCAACTCCTAAATTGGAACCCACCTGGTGTGGGGCTCCAGCAGGTATGAAGACGGCATCACCTAGGAACTGCACAATGGCCCAGCCTTGCACGCTATATTCTTCATAGAGTCGCTTACGGAGAGTCTGGTCCAGGTACCAACTTTGGTCATGAATTGGGTCATGATCAGGGGGATTCTCTTGGCCTTGTTCTTCTCCAACCTGAAGCCGTGATGAAAACCCAAAAGACAGGAAAATTAATAAATTCATAAAAATTATTATTACTAATTTTTATTGAATCACAATTGGTAATGCATATTTTGGGAGTACAACGTTGAGATAAGTCGATCAAATCAATATTACTAGCATATATATTGTTATAAATCGTACTTATTCTTTTTTTTTTAATTTTAAAGGATGACCAGTAAGGGGATCTTAACCCTTGACTTGGTGTTGTCAGCAACATGCTCTCCCAAGTGAGCTAACTGGCCATCCCTATATAGGGATCCGAACCCGTGGCCTTGGTGTTATCAGCACCACACTCTCCCAAGTGAGCCACACGCCAGCCCAAAATTGTACTTATTCTTTATGCCCCTTGTCCAATCTCTCTCCATGCCCTGCTCCCCTCCCCCCCAATTACCCTAGATTTTTTTCTCTTCTTCTGAAAGAGTAATGGTTATTATTTTTTATTTTTTTATTTTTTTTTCCTTTTTGTCTTTTTTCGTGACCGGTAACGGGATCGCAACCCTCGGTGTCGCGCCCGCACCGCGCTCAACCAGTGAGCAGACCGGTCTCTATATGGGATCCGAACCCTCGGCGGGAGCGCCGCCACACTCCCAAGCGCCACACTCTACCGAGTGCGCCACTGGGCCGGCCCAGAGTAATGGTTATTATGTTAATTTGTTGCCTAGATGATCTGTCCAGTGCTGAGAGGTGTGTTCAGATCCCCCAACATTATCGTAGAGCAGGTGCTTCTACTGTCACTCTGGAATGGATTTTGTGGAAAGAGACATCCTCTTCTTTGGGCTCTGTTGGTGACTCCTTGTGTCAATGCATTCCAGTGGCTGGTGGACCATTTGTGTGGTGATTGTGGTGTCTAGCTGCTTTTGCGGCAGCCATGGTTATTGTGGTGGCTGTGGTGGGCTACCCACATGGAGGTGATGTTTTTGGCACGCTCCTTGGTGCTGGCGGTGTGCCTTGGCAGGAACTAATTTTTTGTCCTTTGCTTACTTCTAATATGGGGAAACTTCCTGTTGGGACCAGTACTTGAGCTCTGTGGTTGAGCTAAATTGCTGCTTTGCTGCTGACTCCCTAGGGAAGGCTTTTTGTGCAGATCAGGTTATAATGGCTGATTTCATAGGTACTTCCGGCTCTCCAGAGACCTGGTGCACCTGTGTTGTGTAGAAATTCTGATCTGGGCCTGAGTCTTTTCATCAAACTGCACCCCATGCAAATCTATATTCCTGACCAGTCTCCTCTGAGTGGTCGCATGCTGATTGGGATGCCAGTCAGCTGTCCTTGCTGTGCCCCAGTGTTCTCCCAGTGTGCCCATTTCCCCCACTGCCCGTGCTGCAAATGCTTCCCATAGGATGGGCCTTGCGCCGGTTCCTTGCAATGACTCACTGGCCTCTGAGTGGCTCCTTTTTTTCAGTTGTTCTGGCTCCTCACTCCTATGTGGGTCCATGGGAACCCTATTAGTGGTCTTGCTGGCCTGGGGGCCACCAAGGCCCTCTTATCCCCTGCCGCCTCCAAGCAACTTCATCTGAAAGGCACAACTGCAGCTCTTGCTGGCTCCTGCTGCGTGCATACAGCAGCTCCAGCCTTAAAGCAGCCGCGGCACAAAATGGTTGGAATGGTTTTTTCTTTCTCTCATTGTGGCTTCCCCTGCCTTCATGCATTCTGTAGGTCTCTCCTCTTCCCCTGAGCTCTAGCAGCCCCAGCTTGGCTGTTGTTGCTTTTTTATAGTTGTAAATTGATTGATTTGGGGGAAGAGTATGACACTGGGGACCATCTATTCTGCCATTTTGACTGGAAGCCCCCTATTATTTTGTTTTTGAGTTTTTGGTGGCTGGCTGGTACTGGGATCAAACCCTGGACCTTGGTGTTATTAGCACCATGCTCTAATTAACTGAGCTAACTGGCCAGCCCATAAAAATTATTATTATTATTATTTTTTTAATTTAATTTTTTTTTTTTTTTGTCTTTTGTCTTTTTCCGTGTCCGGCAACGGATCGCAACCCTCAGTGTTGCCCCCGTACCGGACCGGGGACCGGCAACGGGATTGCAACCCTCGGTGTTGCTCCCACGCCTCGCTCAGCCAGTGAGCGGGAACCGGTCTGTATGTGGGATCCGAACCCTCGGGCGGGAGCGCCGCTGCGCTTCCCAAGCGGCGCACTATCCAGTGCGCCACCGGGCCGGCCCCTTTTTGTCCTTTTTGAGACCGGCCGCACCGCGCTCAGCCAGTGACTGCTGTGAGTGCACCGGTCATCCCTATATAGGATCCGAACCCGCAGCGGGAGCGCTGCCGCGCTCCCGCGCTCCCAGCGCCACACCCTCCCAAGTGTGCCACAGGCTCGGCCCTCATAAAAATTATTAACAGCATAAATCCCACTTCCTGCAGCAAGATCCCCAGTGGGCTAAAGCCTCTGCTTTATTCTATTCAATGTCCTCTAGGTGTGGAATCAGACCTCTGGGCATTTTGAAAAGAAGTACCACAGCCAACAGGTCTTTAATGCCAAGCGATTCCACACGAGAAACCCTAGACAAGCTGTCTCAGCTTTCAGACTTTAAAACTGTGAGCTAGGAGCACAGCCTACCAGGGCATACCTTTCGCAGCAGCTCCCGGATCTTCTCTGCATCCTTGGCTGCATAGATGTGCCATAAAGCACCTGGCTTCTCTTTTCCATCATGAATCCTCTGCTTTGTCACCTCATCGGCATCTCCCTCATCAATTGTCTTGAGTACCTCTGAAAAGAGTAAAATGATACTTTCAGTGCAACCACCATTTCAGTACTTCTGAGTGAAGCAAAATGTCCAATTCAGACAGGTTTTAGTCTCCACTCTTCTCCATCTCTCTGGAATAATGTAAGGCAGAATCAAAGAATTCAAATTCATATTGGTCTAAGCTCCATACACTAAACCTTCCTTACTTAATAGAGATTCAGCATTTTTTGAGATTTAGTTTTCCTTCAAAACACATTTATTGCTCAAACCATGTAGCCTAACTTGCATGTTATTTCCTGATGTAAGTAGATGGAGTCAATATATTTTCTCAAGACCTCTTCAAACTCTAGGATTCTGTGGATTTCAGCCTGCAAAGTATAGCATCTTTGGCAAATTAAGAGGAGTGGCTTCTGATGCTTGTCTATCATGATCCCCTAAAAGACAACATAATGGAAGGGTGTACAGGTGTGCAGCATGAGCTACTTATTGTCTTTTTAAAATTCTTCTCTTTTTTCTGAAACTTCCATAACAACCACATATTAATTTTAACACCAAGATGGCAGAAAATGCAAAATATCACTTCTATGCTTCATTTCTGTGCAGATAACCTGGCTTTATCATTTCCTCACCCCACAGCTGATCTGGCTGATGGGTCGAGTAGACCAGTTTGCCCTTTCTTTTTCATTCCTCTTTGTGATGCTACATACTCAGTGGAAAAGGGCAGCATTCCCAGAGAGAGAATGACTCTGTACAGAAGTAGCACTCTTCTCTGCTAGAAGCTCCCTTTGTCTAGCACCATCCACTGGGCAGCTACTATGTATCAGGCCTGGTAGAAACTTAAGAAAAAGCCACTGGGGGAATAAAAAAAGAAAGAAAGAAGAAAAAGCCACTGGCCTTGACTGTGGAGGGGTAACACACAATTCTATCCCTGAGGCCAAGCCTCACCATCCTGAAGCACTAGGTTCTAGAAATCATACCTTCATCATGAGCACCTTCCCCAATAGGGATCCCAACATACACCATCACATTAACAGCATCAGAAACATCTAAATGAAGATTTGTTGTGCCAACTCGTCTATCTTCTGCTGTTATCAAGCCTAAAGGTGAAAGGAAAATGTGCAAGGTGAAGGGGCAATATTCTTAAGAATCCATATAGACCCTACAACTGAAAACATGCTGAAGGATGTTTTTTTTTCTTTTTTTGGTGGCTGGCCAGTATGGGGATCTGAACCCTTGACCTTGGTGTTAAAACACCACACTCTAACCAAGTCAAGGATGTTCTTAAATGAATAATATTGGGAGAGTCAAGCATATCCATTTATCAAGAAATCACTCTCTTTATCTCTTTTATACTGTTTAAGATTAGCTTTGGCCATGGAATACACCCCTCAAAAATGATTTCTCCCTGAAAAGCAAAACAGATATGGGCATTAGGGACATTCAGATGAAACTTAGCTTTCACAGCAACTTAGGTCATTACTGGACTTCACCAGTAGATGTTGGCTGGGTAGCCTGGTACCCAGCCTTCTTCACTGTTATTTTATCAAGTCTCTTAAAACTGAGAATATGTCTCTTTAGATAGAATTTTTGAGAGGAAACTTTCTAACTGCTGGAGACATAACAAGTTTATGAACTGGGCCCATATGGATGTTGTGCAAATCAATAGTACAAAAGAAAACATATTCAAAACCATCCTGGATACTATTAACTTCTCCAGCACTTGTTACCTGCCCTCAATCATCTCGACACAGGACCCTGACCATAGATCTCCCTCTATAGGTAAAATGAGAACAGTCCCCAAAAAGGGCAATTCTGGCCTCTCCTTCATACCATAGGCATTGTACATCTTGGGGCCCAGATCGGGCCTTACGAAGTAGCTGGGTAGCCTAGAGGCCAGATTGAGCCTGCCATCTCGTTTGGTATATTCTGGCAGAGGAAGGTTTTCCATCAGATCTTCAAACCTACAAAAGGGCAGGAAAGATGACTTAGTTTGTTACAGGGGAAGAATGTAAACATGCAGAATTCACTTTTCTGTGATTACTTTGTGATAGCTTCAGCCAGGCACAAGTCTCTGAAGATGACACCACTGTAGGTCACTAACCTTGTTGGCATCATGTCCCGAAAATCTTCCCCAGGAGGCCAGTCCTTGAGTTTGAGCACCATTGGCTGTCCATCTTCTGACCTTAGTCGCTCTGGAAGAGAGATAGTACTCCCAGAAACATCTGGGTTGGATGCTGCCCAATTTTCCAGTGATTAAACGTTTTAGGAGACTACCCCCTTATTTCAGACTTGTAAACCTTCATAATGGAATAGGTGGGCTTTATTTTCCTCACCTACTGCTTTAGTACACAGCATCTCAAGGGATTCTATCTCAAGGGATTCTATTCCCCTTCCTCATGGTGAAAGTGCTCCACACATCCCATGGGATCACATGCTTAAGACTGGGCGTGCTCCGGGAGCCATGTGATTGCCATACAAGCTACATAGTTGGCTCCAGGATAGAATGTTCCTCCCACCAAGAGAATATCATTTGTTAATCCAGGAGCAGGACTGGGCATATAGACACTTATTTTCCAATTTGCCATTACTGAACTAGATATTAAAGCTACTTACTGCATATGATCTCAAAGCCATCCCAGAAATCCCGAACTTTCACATCGGATATTATAGCACAGTTCCTGCAGTTCACCAAGTCCACATCCTGGTCTCCAAATTCCTGGCTAAAGGCCTCTGGCTTCCAGAGTTCAGACTTGAGCTTTTTATGTACCCCTGAAACCAGTACTGGCTGCAGAAACAAAAATATCCCAATCATAACCATCTAGAAAAATACTTTTAGCTCTAGGGATAAGGGACAGAACAGATTTTCCTGGGGAGGGTCTCTTCTCCATGAAGATCTATTGTTCTTACCCAGTTTTATAACCTATGGATTTCTTTCTTTCTCTTTTTTTTTGTCCTTTTTGTCTTTTTTACTGACCGGCAACGGGATCGCAACCCTCAGTGTCGCGCCCGTACTGGGAACCGGCAACGGGATCGCAACCCTCGGTGTTGCGCCTGCACCGCGCTCAGCCAGTGAGCGGGAACCGGTCTCCACATGGGATCTGAACCCTCGGCGGGAGCGCCGCCATGCTCCCAAGCGGCACACTCTCCAGTGCGCCACCGGGCCGGCCCTATAACCTATGGATTTCAATACATAAGTTAAAGTCAATGAAAACTGCTTCTACTCCATTATACTTGATTCTCACCATGGGGAGCATGCCATTAGAAATTACTTCTGTTGCCTTGATATCTACCACTATTTTGAAGTGAGGGGACAAAAAGCTGACAAATGCAACTTTAAGAACATCAACTGAAAATGATAAAGTATTTAGACAATTCCATAAGCTCCCCCTTCCTCAAGCACCTGCTAAAGTATAAAAATCAGAGTGTTATCACACTATCACATAAACTTCTGTGGCTTTGAAACATTTACCTAGAAAAGTACCACACATTTCCATCCACACACCCTCATCCTACTTCATATCACATGTAAGTATTTTCCTCCAAAGGTGTCATCAATGCCAGATCAACACTTAACAGAAGTTTCAACTGCCGTTTTAAGAACATAGAACTACATAGCTTAGAAATAAAAGGATGTACAATGTACTTTTAGGAATCTCCTCAGTTTTAAAAATCTAAGACTAGTCAAAGTAGCAAGGCTATCTACAACAAACTTACTATGTCTAAATCTCCCTAGCAAAAGATCTTTCAGAGAGACCTGGAATTATCCTGGTAACTGTGGCACGCAGACAGTTGGCCCTGGAAACTGCTTATTCTTGCTTACCTGGCCTTGCTTCCAACACTCCCGGAAGATCTTCCAATTGTTTTTGTTGCTGGGGTCATGAAGACACAGAAGCCTCCCATCACAGAGCCAGGAGTGAGAAGTATGGGGGTCTAGCACATTTAACCCCATCACCATCTCCTTCACTTCCTTTTGGGTATCAGTCAAGTTGCAGGCTCGCTTTGAAGCATCTGAGGTTTTCTTATTTTCTACCACTGAGGCAATGATGTGGTCAAGAAAGTTGGGTAGGCTGGCCTTGTTCTTCACACCCTGCCAGACACAAATCCATCAGGTAAGCTTGACTGAGGCATCATGAGAAGAGCAATCAAAAAAAAAAAATTTTTTTTTTTAAAAGGATGACCAGTAAGGGGGATCTTAACCCTTGACCTGGTGTTGCCAGCACCACGCTCTCCCAAGTGAGTTAACCGGCCATCCCTATATAGGGATCCGAACCTGTGGCCTTGGTGTTTATCAGCACCACACTCTCCCTAGTGAGCCATGGGCTAGCCCAAGAAGAGCAATCAAAAAATTTTCTCACACTCATATTCCTAAGAAGTTCTGACCTATCTGATTAAATTCCACAGGAGTTATTTAAATGTCTTTTGTAACTAGAGAGGGGGTTTTAAAAAGTCAGTATCTTAAATTCTTCTACCCTTCATATTTTGCCTTACATTTATGAAAGAAAAGTAAAGAAAGATCCCTTCTACCTCAAGAGATCTGAGACCTAAGAAATATTTCTGGCATTCAGCCCTGTATTAAGCATATACATGTAGACTGCAAAAATCACAAAATGCTGTAACTGAGTGAAAAAGATCACTTAGTTTGTGGCTTCTAAATTTGTTTCTGGCCAGAGTGCCCAAGGGATACGATACTTCAATTTAATAACAGAAGTGATTTATCAAGGCAGCGGTTTTCTATGAAGGAGCACCCCAATAAAGGGATGTGCCAGAGTGTCCAAGACAAACTACATATTCTGGAAGCAGTTTCCTATTCTCCAATTCTTCCCCTATTATCATCTCACTGAGAATCTCTCATCTGTTTCAGCTGATGGGAAAGTTCAGGCCCAGAGATCAATGTGACATACTTAAGGTCACAGAACCTAAGTTGGGGAGGAGGGATTTTTTTAAATTTCATAATCCTATGCCTGAAGTATCACTAACCACTATTTTTATAAAGTATGTAGAATCGTATATCCTGGGAAAAATAAAAAGGAAAAGAACTGGGGATATGAGAAAACACAAATAAAACAGAGCCCAAAGTAATTGTTTTGTTTTGCTTTCATTTTTTTTTTAAAGTTACCTATCCAAAAGAAAAACAAATAATCCAAACTGTACAGGGCTTAACCACCCACAATTCATTGAATTTTAGCTGTCAACCATAAAATAGAATGGGAAGCATATTTATGTACTTGTTTGAAATGATCTGTAAGATATATAAACTGAAAAACAGCAAAGCAAGGTATAGAAAAGAGAGGGAAAAAGCCTACATATATATGATAATATCTCTGAAATGATACTCAAGAAACAATGGTGACCTCCAGAAAGGGAAACACAGGTGGCTGGGAGACAAGAAGTGGGAAGGAAACTTTTTAGTATAAGCCCTTTTGCATCTTTTAAATTTTGATTTGTACCTTGTGAATTTATTCAGTCAATATATGCTTAGTAGACATGATTATAGATCAAACGCTGTGGCACTAGGAGTATACTGGTATATATAGAATATACTAGATACATAAATAAGATACTTATTTTTTTGTTGGCTCTTTTGTTTTTTGGTGGCTGGCTGGGAAGGGGATCCAAACCCTTGACTTTGGTGTTAGAAGGTTGCACTCTAACAATCTGAGCTAACTGGCCAGCCCTATACTGGTGAATAATAATAGCCAAAAATAAAGTGGGGAAAGCAGATATGTGTAAAGGATGGGAGTGCAATGAACTTTTTAAAAAGGTGATGTACAAAGAAAGGCTTACTGACAGTGACATTTCAAGAGAGAAGAGAAGCTGATGATAAAGCAAGCCATGTCGTTACATTGGCAAGAACTTCTAGGTTAAGGAAATAACAAGTGCAAAGGCACTGAAGAGGGAGCATGGCTGGCCACGTTTAAGAAACAGCAAGAAGGGGCCGGCCCATGGCTCACTTGGGAGAGTGTGGTGCTGATAACACCAAGGCCACGGGTTTGGATCCCTATATAGGGATGGCTGGTTGCTCAATTGGGAGAGCGTGGTGCTGACAACACCAAGTCAAGGGTTAAGATCCCCTTACCAGTCATCTTTAGAGAAAAAAAGAAAAGAAACAGCAAGAAGGTGGTATAGCTAGAACAAATGAATAAGATGGAGGGTGGTAGTTGAAGTGGGAGAGGTGAGGGGAAGAGGAACAGATAGGGCTAGAGCCTTGTAGTCCCCTTTAAGGACTTTGCTTATCTTATGAGACAAACAGAAAGCCCGTGGAGGATTTTAGGCAGAGGTGACATAATTTGACTTACATTTTAAAAGGACCACTCTAGCTGTGTTGAAAACAGACTGTAGAGTGCAAAGGGCGGAAATGAGGGGACCTGCAAGGAATTTACTGGAAAAATTTAGGCAAGAGAGGACGTTAGCTTAGAACAGAGAGGAAGCAATGGAGTTTATGAGAAATGGGTGGATCCTGAATATATTATGAAGATCAAACTGAAAGAACTTCCTCACAAATTAGATATGAATACAAGAGGGGAGTCCCTATTTTCTCCAAGATTCTTGGAACATGCATTTGGAAGGAGGGAGATGCCACTGACTAAAGAGGAGCAGGCTTATGGGCAGAAGATCAGGAATTCAATCTTAGATATGTTGAAGATCTGAAATATCTATTAGACATCCAAGAGAATACAATATAAATTTACTGCTTTAGGTTAAAAAAAAAAAAAACAACTTTTTTTTTTTTTTTTTTTGTCTCTTTTTTTGTGACCGGCAACGGGATCGCAACCCTTGGTGTTGCCCCCGCACCTTGCTCAGCCAGTGAGCGGCCGGTCTGTATGTGGGATCCGAACCCTCGGCGGGAGCGCCGCTGCGCTTCCCAAGCGGCACAGTGTAGCAGTGCGCCACCAGGCCGGCCCAAAAAAAAAAACTTTTTAATGTCTGCTATTATCAAGAAAATCAAGTGATCAATAACATAACTTTTCTGCTGATGACTGAAAAATTCAATGTCTCAATTTTTACTAACTTCTTAACATGGTATAAAAGGCTCACTACTTAAAAGGATCTCAAACATTCCCAAAACTTAATGTAGAGAGAGATCTTGTCAGCTTGACAGACAATGTAGAGAACACAAATCACCCTTGCATCCACTAACCCAATTATCAGATCTCTTATGGATCTTTCATAGAAAAGCAGCAAAGACTACAGTTGTTCGGAGGACACTTACTGCTGAGGATGTAGAGAAGACCGGGGGGAAAGGTATGCTTGTGTCCAAGGGGGTTTGAGGAAGCTTCCCGGGCCCAGAGTGAAGGAGGTCTCGAAGGCTAGAACCTTCAGTTTTGTTGTTCGAGGCAGTGGGACCCAGTAAAAGACTGTTAAAAAGCTTTGGAGTCAACGGAGAGACCTTAGCAGTGGAGTTGAATGAGTCCAGACCAAAGGGTGAATGAGATTCTTTACTGAGAACTGACCTCAGGGACCCTGCTTCTGTAAGAACATAAACGGGAAAAGCATTAGGCACAATAAGGAATATCCAACAGACAACTCACTCCTAAAAACTAGCTAAGCTAGCTAAGTGAGAAGGAGGAAAAACTCTCTCCCTTCTTCTGCCTCCCAAACTGTGTATAGTTTATCTGAGCCAAGCCTGACAAGCTATAAATACATGAGGTCTCATGGACAAGGAGAAGCTCTCCTACTTCTTCCTTTCTTTTCCAGATCTGGATTTCAAACTTCCTTTTGTTCCCATCCATCTTTCATTTCCCTGATTTTCTTCTTCTTTTTTTTTTTTTTTTGTCTTTTTCATGACTGGTAAGGGGAAGGCAACCCTCGGCTTGGTGTCGCCTGCACTGTGCTCAGCCAGTGAGCGCACCGGCCACTCCCATATAGGATCCGAACCCACGGCGGGAGCGTTGCTGCGCTCCCAGTGAGTGCGCCACGGGATCGGCCCTCCCCCATTTTCTAAGAGTTTCTTTAGGTGGGTCTCCAAAACACTTGCACTGGAATCACTTGGAGTGCTTGTTAAAAACGGAGATTGCTGGGCCGGCCCGGTGGCACACTGGATAGTGCGCCGCTTGGGAAGCGTGGTGGCGCTCCCGCCCGAGGGTTCGGATCCCACATACAGACCGGTTCCCGCTCACTGGCTGAGCGAGGCGCGGGAGCAGCGCCGAGGGTTGCGATCCCGTTGCCGGTCCCTGGTCCGGTTCGGGGGCAACACTGAGGGTTGCGATCCATTGCCGGACACGGAAAAAGACAAAAAAGACAAAAAAAAAAAAAAGGAGATTGCTGGGGCCAGCCTGGTGGCACACTGCTACAGTGCGCCGCTTGAGAGCACGGTGGCACGCTCCGAGTGTTCGGATCCCACATACAGACTGGTTCCCGCTCACTGGCTGAGCGAGGTGCGGGCGTGATACCGAGGGTTGCGATCCCGTTGCCGGTCCCGGTCCGGTACGGGCGCGACACTGAGGGTTACGATCCGTTGCCGGACACGAAAAAAGACAAAAAGGGAAAAAAACAAAAACAAACAAAAAAAAAAATGGAGATTGCTGGTCTTACCCTAAGAGATTCTGACTTAATAGTTCTAGGTGGGGCATAGGAATCTTCATTCTTAACAGTTCCCCAGGTAATTCTTGTGTTGTTGAAAACTACTGCTCTAAGTCTAGCTCTCAACCCTCGCTATATAACAGAATCATCTGGCAAGCTTGTTAAAAACCTTACATCAATTCTGACTAAGGAGGTCCAGGCCCAGGCATGTGTCTTTTTAAAAAAGCTCCACTTCTAGAAATAAGTTGAATGAAACTCCCTCATTTTATATGATCAGCCAGAGAAAGCAAGTGGCATATTTCAGAAATGTGGATGGTAATTTGTGAGTCTGAAGAATCCCAGAATAACCCATGAATTCAACCCATAGGCAGGACAGAGGCTTGTGTTCATCTCACCTTTCGTTTCTTCTTTAGCCTTCTGAGTTGCTAAATCCGCCAACCAGTGCAGGGCAGAGGAGGGTGGGGCTGTGTCAGGGCAAGGGGTCCTGATGGCTTTTAGCTCACTATTGCTATCTGAAGCCGAACTGTCTGCTTTCAGAGGCTCTTCAGATCTGATGTCAGTGCTGTCGGCTTTGGGAACATGGTCGGGTTCTGGAGTTGCTACTGTTGCAATTCCTCCTCCACCTGAGAAGGTAGTTTCGTTTCCAGAAGAGGCACTAGGGTTTATGCTAGGAAGCTAAAGCACAGGAAGACCAACAAGGTTAGAGTACTATCCTTGGGTAGAAAAAAATAAAACACAACTAGTAATGGTTTCTGACACTAAATAGGGCTTCTGACACTACATAGGTCTGGGAAGAATAATCTGAAACTGTCCAATAAACTACTTCATCCATTCTTTAATTCAAAATGTGTTTATTGAGTCCTACAAATATCTATGCTAGGTTATGTGGAAAGATAAGACTTGAAGTTTATTTTTAAATTTAATTTTTTAAAAAGATGACCAGTAAGGGTATCTTAACCCTTGACTCGGTGTTGTTAGCACCATGCTCTCCGAAGTGAGCCAACTGGCCATCCCTATATAGGGATCCAAACCTGTGGCCTTGGTGTTATCAGTACCACACTCTCACAAGTGAGCCACGGGCCAGCCCTAAGTCTTGAAGTTTATAATCTAAAATAAACATGTAATATGCCTGAGAAAATTTTTGCAATGGCAAATTGGTGATTACAACGTGACCTCACAGAGGTGTCCTGAGGATTAAATGAGAAAGTATATGCAAAGGGCTTAGCACAATTCTGGCACACATAAATTACTGAATTTCCCAAATGATTTGCTTTAATGTGTCAACTTTATTGAAAATACATCTCCAGATCCCTCAGCATTAATCCCTGTGCCTGTTATCAATGACCACATGTTAGTAGCATCTCTAGAAGAACACTGAAGTATAAGCAGATGGTTATGTTTTTTTAAAACAACTGTTTGTTCAAAATAAATAATCACCATCAAACCAGAATGACCTCTGCCTCTGACAGAGCAATGAGAAAACTACTCCCTCCTTCTAGAGGTTTAGGATTGCTTTGAGGGTTGCATGAACCAAATTCAGTGGGCTAATTTTCATATTTCTGTTCTTTGTACCTAAGATGAACCCAATGATAGGGACTATGTACATACCTTCTCAGATAGGACTGAGAAGACCAACAGTATTCCTAGTAACCTTTTCTATACTTTTCACCCATACAAAGACCCTGAGGTATACATCCTGACAAGTTGCAAAGAATCTATTTGTGCTATTTATCAACCAAATCTAAACTGGTTTAAAGGTGAATGAAGTCAGGAGGAATTGAAATCCCTTCAGTAAATTTTTTTGAGTTCTCTCTAGAAAGGCTTTCCCATCTCCTAATTCCCCAAGAATCCACTGGGCAACAGAGTCAAAAATGGGGCATTTCCTCGTTCTAAAAACTTAAGTTTCACTCAGTAATACCCATACACACCACTTTACCTGTGACATCCCATTGGTGACAGCAGGTCTCAACACGGATTTGTTCTGCCGACTGATACAAGGGCAGTTTGCTTTAATTCCCCACTTGCCCCGGGCAGCATGTACCATGTCTCCAATATTGTAAAGAGCTGGACAAAAGATAACAATAGTAACAATTAACAGAACACTTGTATATGCCACGTATTGTGCTAAGGACTTTTTTTACATTACAACATTTCAGTAAGGCAGCTACTTTTATCCTCAATTTTTGATAATCAAACTTAGACTCAGAGAAATTAGGTCATTTGCTCAAGTACACGAAGTTGGTAAATGGAAGTAGTAAGACTTAAATGCAGGTATATCTAGCCCTAAAAAGTTCTGTACACTTTAAACCACTGAGCTACACTCTGTCCCTCCTCTAGTAAACATTAACCAGGTGTCCTAGAGAAGAAATTCTAGGGGTAGATTCCTTAATATCCAAGAATGTAAACATTTTGAATTGCCTACTTTATTGAATTGCAAGATATATCTAAAATGTTTTTTAAAAAATAGATCAATGTAAACGTTTTTTTTTTTTTTTTTTTAAAGATGACCGGTAAGGGGATCTTAACCCTTGACTTGGTGTTGTCAGCACCACACTCACCCAGTGAGCAAACCGGCCATCCCTATATGGGATCCGAACCTGTGGCCTTGGTGTTATCAGCACCGCACTCTTCCGAGTGAGCCACAGGCTGGCCCAATCAATGTAAACTTTACGCGGATAAACATTTAACCATGCTTAGACCAACAGTGAGCAGGCATTTTAACACTGCAGTAAAGAAGCCCTTCAATTTGTTGGTTTTTCTAAAATTTTTTATTTTTTTAAATTTTTTATTTTTAAATTTTATTTTGTTGATATACAGTGTGGTTGATTATTGTGGCCCATTACCGAAACCTCCCTCCCTCCTCCCTCCCACCTAACAATGTCCTTTCTGTTTGCTTGTTGTATCAACTTCAAGGAACTGTAGTTGTTATGTCTTCTTCCCCCCACCCCCGTTTTTGTTTTTTTTTGTGTGTGTGTGTGAATTTATTTATTTATTTTTACCTCCCACCAATAAGTGAGAACATGTGGTATTTCTCTTTCTGTGCCTGACTTGTTTCACTTAATAAGAAGCCCTTCAATTTGGAAGCAATGTCGTATAAAGGATTCAGGAGATGCCACCCAAAGCTTTCTTAAGTGGAGGAATATAGAGAGTAGTTTTGCAGACTCGCCATCTTCAATGCATGTATGTTAATGGAAGGGTGGAAGCTGGGCATGTAGAACTTCTAGAGGAATCACTGTAGTAAGCCGGGGTTGTGACACAAACATAACCATTCATTTCTGTTAAGCTAGGTGCCTTCCTCATGGATTCAAAAGGTTTGATTACCTTTAGCTGGATTTTTACGAGCCTAAAACCAGAAGTTTTTCGGGCTGAGCCCGTGGCGCACTGGGGAGAGTGCGGCGCTCCCGCCGCGGGTTCGGATCCTATATAGGGATGACCGGTGCGCTCACAGCACTCACTGGCTGAGCGCGGTGTGGCCGGTCTCAAAAAGGAAAAAAAAAAAAAAAAACCAGAAGTTTTTCTGGAAGCCTAGAGACTAGCTTTTTCATTCTGGTCCAGCCAACCACAGGAATGTGAAATGATATATGAAAACATGACCAGCTCCTCTGACTAGAAAGGGGGAGCAGAATGTCAGTGGCCGTATGCACGCTAATATACATCTAAAGATTCAAATTCTCAGAGAAATCTGGTGAGGCTCAAAAAAAAATAATAATAAAAATAAAAATCAGCCTAGGACATACCATTTCACCAAATTTTATGGTATGTGAGTATTTCAATTAAAAACATTTCTTTTCACCAAATTGAGAAAAGGAATTTCCTTACCTGTGCCAGGGATGATCTGTGTGGGCATGAGATTCTCTGGTTCATGGGACTGACCCTTTGCACACTTCAACCAGGAGAAAACCTCTTCATCACCCATTTCCTCTGTTTCTGAAACAGAAATGAGATGACTTCATTTATTATGAGAGTCATGGGATGGAGTAGGAGTTTCAGAACCCTAAAGGCCAATTTTCTCATGGCCAAAGAAGATAATACCTAAATTTTAAAAAATCTACTTTACTGAGGTATAATTTACATACAATAAATTCAACAATTTAAATTGTGTACCTCAATGAGTTTTGACAAATGTATCCAGTTGTATGAACACTACCCACAATCATGATATAGAACATTTCCATCACATCTCAAGTTCTCTGCAGTCAATGCCCTTCCCTCAATCTCTGGCCACTACTATTGATCAACTTTCTAATACTAAAGTTTTGCTTTTATAGAATTTCACATAAGTGGAAGAATACAGGAGGTAATCATTTGTATTGGGTTTCTCTCATTTAGTATAACACTTTTGAGACGCATCTATATTGCTGCATGTATCAATAATTCATTTTTTGTTTTATGGCTGAGTAGTATTCCATGGTATGGATGTACCACAATTTCTTTACCTATCTATCAGCTGGTGTACGTTTGGGTTGTTTCCCATTTTTGGCTATCACAAATAAAGCTGCTCTAAACATTTATATACAAGTCTTTGTGTGAACGTTTTCATTTCTCCTGTAAATACCTTGGAGTGGGATGCTGCATCATATGGCAAGCTTTAACTTTTAACTTTATAAGAAATGGCCATATTGATTTCTGAAGTGATAGGGCCAATCTGCATTCCTGTCAGCATTGTCAGAGATTTAGTTCCTCCATATCCTTGCTTACACTTGGTACTGTCAGTTTTAAAATTTTAGCCATTCTAGTGAATATGACTGTTTCTCATTATGGTTTAATTTGTATTTCTCAAAAATAATGATAATTTTTTTCATGTGCTTATCTGCCACTGATCTATAATTTTGGATATAGTATCAGTTCAAATCTTTTGCCCATTTAAAAACTGGGCTGTTTGTCCTCTTGTTATTGAGTTGTAAGAGGTCTTAGTACATTATTGATACAAGTCTTTTAACAACTGTGTGGTCGGCAAATCTTTTCTCCCAGTCTGTGGCTTGCCTTTTCATATTCTTCAGTGTCTTTGAAGAGGAAAAGTTTTAAAATTTGATATTAATTTGTTTTTCTTTTGCTTTTCGTATCCTATCTAAGAAATATTTGTCTCGCCCAAGGATACTAAGATCTTCTATTTTTTTTTCTAGAAGTTTTATAGTTTTAGCTTTACGTCTAGGTCTGTGTTTCACTTACAGTATTTTGTATATAGTATAAAGTAAAGATATAGGTTCTTTTTTTTCCTTTGAATACGGATATACAATTATTCCAGTACCATTTGTTGAAAGGATTATCCTTTCCCCATTCAATTACCTTAGCACCTCTGCCAACAATAAATTGACTATTATGTGTGGGTTTACTGCTAGACTGTGTTCTGTTCCATTACCATAGTGCCTTGATAACTGTAGCTTTACAGTAAGTTGTGAAATGAAGTAATACAAGTCCTCCAACTTCATTATTATTATTATTATTTTTGTCCTTTTGAGACTGGCCGCACCACACTCAGCCAGTGAGCGCTGTGAGCGCACCGGTCATCCCTATATAGGATCCGAACCCGTGGCAGGAGTGCTGCTGCGCTCCCAGCGCCGCACTCTACCAAGTGCGCCACGGGCTCGGCCCCAACTTCATTATTTTAGGTCCTTTGAGTTTCACATATTTTTTAGAACCAGCTTGTCAATTTCTACAAAAAGGTCTATTGGGATTTTGATATGGAATTGCATTTAATTACAGATTGATTTAGAAGAACAGACAACCTAGTATTCAATCTTCTCATCCACAGATATGGTACATCTCTCCATTTACTTAAGTATTCTTTAATTTCTCTCAGCAATATGTTGCAGTCTTCAGCGTATATGTCTTGTATATATTATCTAAATTTATCTCTAAGCATATCGTGTTTTTTTATACTACTGTAAATAACGATTTTAAATTTCAATTTCTAATTGTTCATTGCCATAATATTGAAATATAATTGATCTGTATATGTTGACTTTGTACCTTGCAATCTTGCTAAACTTATTAATGAGTTCTTGAAACTTTTTTGTAGATTTCTTTAGGATTTTCTACATAGATGATCATGTCATCTGATAATAAAAAAATCTTACTTGTCTTTTTTTGTTTTGTTTTGCCTTTTCATTATTTTTGTCTTTTATTTTACTGACTAGTAACTTCAGTACAATTTTTTTGTTTTTGTTTTTAGCAGTTGGCTGGTATGGGGATATGAACCCTCGATCTTGGTATTATAACACTGTGCTCTAAACCAACTGAGCAAACCAGCCAGCCCTATAGTACAATGTTTAAAAGAAGCTGTGAAAGTTGACCACCTTGCTTTGTTCCTGAACTTAGAGGGAATGATTCAGTCTTTCATATTATTATGTATGATGTTCAGTGTTTTTCAAACTTTATCTCTTTACCACCCCCCCAAAGAGCCTTTTGAAACATTTGTTGTTGTTGTTAATTGTGCTCCCCACCTCTTTGTACTACTGCTATTATACATTTTAATTTTATATTATATAACCCCCCCAAATATATTATTACTATTTTTGCTTTAAAAAATTATCTTCCCTTCTCCACTCCCACTGCTTTACTTGACAAGCCTTAAAAAAATTTTTTTTTTAAATTATTTTAAAAAGATTAAAAAGGGGCCGGCCCGGTGGTGCACTTGGTAGAGTGTGGCGGCGCTCCCGCCGAGGGTTTGGATCCCATATACAGACCGGTCCGCTCACTGGTTGAGCGCGGTGCAGGCACGACACCAAGGGTTGCGATCCCGTTGCCGGTCGCAGTACAGGTGCGACACTGAAGGTTGCGATCCCGTTACCGGTCACGAAAAAAGACAAAAAGGAAAAAAAAAAAAAGATTAAAAAGGCCTTTTATATTTACTCACATATTTACCATGTAGGATGTTCTTCATTCCTTTGTCTAAATTCAAATTTCCATATCACATCATTTTCTTCTCCTTGAATAACTAAACTTTTAACTTTATTGTAGTGTGAAATCTACTTGTGATGAATTCTATTAGCTCTATTTGGTCTAAAAAAGTATTTTAGTATTATTTTTGAAAGGTACTTTCATTGGGCATGAATTCTAGGTTAATACAACAGTTTGTTTCCAGCCTTTAAGAGGTCATTCCATTGTCTTCTGGTGTATAGGGTTTCTGACAAATCGGCTGTCATTCCTATTATTGTTATTCTGCACAAAACGTGCCTATTTTTCCTCTAGTGCTTCTCACATTTTTCTCTTTATAACTGTTCACCAGCAATTTGATTATGATGTGCTTTGGTGTTGTTTTCTTAATGTTTTGTCTGTTTGGTGTTTATTGTTGGTTTTGTGGTTATACAGTTTTATCAAATTTGGAAATTTTCTGGCATTATTTCTTTAAATATTTCTTCTGTCTCTTCCTTCCCACCCATTCTCTTTCTGGAACTCCAATTATTTGTTTGGTAAACTACCTGCTATTTCCTGCAGCTTTATGAGGCACTCTTCAATTTATGAATCAAGGCCTTTTTTCCTCTCTGTTTTGGATCATTTTTATTGCCATATCCTCAAGTTCATTGTTTTCTTCTTCTCCAGTGTCTAATCTGCTTTAATCCCATCCAGTGTAAATCTTTGAGATATTTTTCATCTCTAGAAGTTTCATTTGGGTCTTTTATATATATTCTCATCATGTTCATGGTTTTCCTTTATGTCCGTAGCATATTTATAAGATTTATAATAGCTGCTTTAGGTCCTTTTCTACCAATTCTCTCATAACTGTCACTTTTCTGTTTTTTTTTCTTTTCTTTTCTTTTTTTTTTTTTTTTGTCCTTTTTGTGACCGGTAAGGGGATCGCAACCCTTGGCTTGGTGTCGCCCACACTGCGCTCAGCCAGTGAGCGCACCGGCCATCCCTATATAGGATCTGAACCCGCGGCGGGAGGGCCGCAGCGCTCCCAGCGCCGCACTCTCCCGAGTGCACCACGGGGTTGGCCCGAGTTTGTTTCTATTGATTACCTTCCTTCCCACTTATTGATCATATTATCCTGCTTTTTTGCGTACCTGATGATTATTGATCAACTGCAGAGCTTTGTGAATTTTATGTTTTTGGGTATTGGATTTTGTTGTAATCCTTTAAAAAATCTTTGTTTTTAGTCTAGTGCACTAGTACACAGTTAAGTAAATTGCAGACAAGTTTCTTCTTCTGAGGCTTGCTTTACACTTTGTTATGGTAGCTCAAGAGCATCTTTTATTCTGGGACTAAATTAGTAACACTAGTAAGACAAGGCCCTCTGTACTCTATCAAGTATCTCCTCACTCTGGCTGGTAGGAATACAAATTGTGAGTTCTGCAAATTATTCAGTCAATTGCTTTCTGAAGGTTCTTTCTTGGGCCTTGAGGAGTTTCATCTCATACATGTGCAGATCACTATATATGCAAAAAATTGAGGGTATCTCTCTGCAGATCTCTGATATTCTTTCTCTGTGCAGCTCCCACCTCTTCAGTACTCTTCCTCACTGTTCTTAGACTGATCTCTGTCTCAACTCATTGAAGTGGCCAAGCTCTGTTTTAGTTTCCTTTCCTTGTGCTACAGCCTGGAAACTGCCTCTAGGTGGTAAGCTGAGGCAATTAGAGGGATCACCTTGTCTCTTTGCTTCTCTCAGGGATCACAGTTCTATGTCGTTGTTGTCTAATATCTGAAACTGTGATCGTATATTTTATCCAGTTTTCTCGTTGTTTACGGCAGGAGGGCAATACCTGTAGTAGTTAATCATTCAGAGGCAGGAATGAAAGACTCTAACACCTAACATTTATGGAGTACCTAGTGGGTGTCAGGTCCTATGCTATCCACTGTACATGTAACATTATGGAGTATACTAACATTTATAAAGCAAATGCATTTCACAGGGCCTAGCTTCTAAAGCTCTGTAGTTTCAGGTATAACCTAACTTTTTAAAAAATTTTTTTTCCAAAAGATGACTGGTAAGGGGATCTTAACCCTTGACTTGGTGTTGTCAGCACCACGCTCAGCCAGTGAGCCAACCGGCCATCCCTATATGGGATCTGAACCTGTGGCCTTGGTGTTATCAGCACCACACTCTCCCAAGTGAGCCATGGGCCGGCCCATAACCTAACTTTTTAAAATTACATATAGAAATGTTAAGCTTGCAAAAGACAGGAAACTTTCCTCAGACTAAAGTCTCTGTTGTAGATAAATAATTGTAACACAGCAAAATTATTGGCTCAAGGACAGATGCCCTTGGAGCAGGTTAACCTAAAGTTGCTTTATTGTTGTGTAAAAATACTGAGGAAACTGCTGTAAGAAAAGACAGTATTTGCTAAGAACAAGCTTTTGTTGATGGATTGACTTAACCTTTTGCAAATTGCATTATGGAATGTCACTTTGTTATTTCACTGATGTTACCACCCTCTATTGTTAAACTATACTCAGCCATCACTCCACCTATGTTCCTTTTCTGTAACTTTCTGGCCCAGAGAATAAATACTGAGAAAGAACCCCAGTTCGGGGTTATTATTCCAAACAGGAATGCCTCTCTCTTGAGGGTTCCTGGAAAATTAACCCCTTTGGGGCTTCTCACTGCTCAGAAGAAATGGGCTTTGAGTAATCCTTTTTGTGTCTCCGTCATCCAGAGGAAGAGAGGTGACATAACATTTCATTTTATACAACAATGCTGTGAGGAAAGTACTATTATCTTTATTTTATGGACAAGAAAACTGAGACTCCGAGGGGTTAAGTAACTAGCCCAAGATACCATAGGTGGTGTAATAAGATGTGAAAGGTTTCAAATCCTAGTAGCCTAAGCTCTAAGCCACTGTTATCATGGTTATACTTTATCTCTCAAGAGAGGAGAATGAGAGGGTCAAGGGCAGGGAGGATTCTTGGCATGTAATAAGATAAAGTAAGAACCAAGGGAAGCACAGGATTTGAATATCCATTTCTCCAAAGAAAATAAACAAATGGGGCCGGCCCGGTGGCGCACTGGAGAGTGCGCTGCTTGGGAGTGTGGCAGCGCTCCCGCTGAGGGTTTGGATCCCATGTGGAGACCGGTTCCCGCTCACTGGCTGAGCGCGGTGCGGGCGCAACACCGAGGGTTGCGATCCCGTTACCGGTCAGTAAAAAAGACAAAAAGGAAAAAAAAAAAAAAGAAAAGAAACAAACGACTAATAAGAGAATGAAAAGATATTCAGCATCGTTAGTCAAACCACACAAAGAGATACTAGTTCACAGCCACTATGATGGCTGCAACAAAAAAGACAAATAATAACAAAACAAAACAATAACAAATATTGGCAGGAATGCGGAAAAATTGGAACCCTCATATGTTAATGGTGGGATTATAAAATGGTACAGATACTTTGGAATATAGTTTGGCAGCTCCTCAAAAGGTTAAATGTAGAATTGTCATATGACCTAGCACTTCCTCTCGTAGGTACATAACCAAGAGAGCCACAAGCATGTGTCCACACAAAAAACTATGCAAACGTTCATGGTGGCTCTATTCCTAATAGCCAAAATTTGAGACAACCCAAATGTCTATCAACTGATGAATGGATAAACAAAATGTAGTATATCCAGACAATGGAATATTACTTGGCCATACAAAGGAATAAATTCTTGATATGTGTTATAACATCTATGAAACTTTAAAACATTATGCTAAATGAAAGTGGCCAGTCACAGAAGGCCAAATATTGTATGATTCCATTTAATATGGTATGTCCAGAACAGGCAAATCTATAGAAATCGAAAGCAGATTAGTGGTTGCCAAGGGCTGGGGGAGGGAGAAATGGGAAGTAACTGCTAATGGGTACAAGGTTTTTTGGGGGTGATGAAAATGGAATTAGACAGTGGTGATGGTTACACAACCTTGTGAATTAAGCCACTGAATTAAACCCTTTAAAAGGGTGAATTTTATGGCATGTGAATTATATCTCAATAAAGATACTATTAAAAGGAAAAACAAGGGAAGATGAAGAATAATCCTTCTTGACTTGTTTTAGACTTCCTAGTCAGGCTGAGCATTGGTAATTTTAAGGTCTTACAATACAACAAAGATGAATGAAGCTAAGCAGTTAAAGGAGGGGCACAAGCCCATTCCTGCTTCAATTTCTAAGTCCTATAACTGCACTGACACACACCTACAGGTTACCTTTAGAACTGCATAGGACAATATCTGCTTACCACTGCGAGGACGGCTTTTCCTGAGCCGGTAACAGTCAAGGCAGACTCCAAATCCACATTTGCGACAAACCCAGTGGATGTTGAAGAGTGTTGTTTCACATACATCACACATCTCCCGAACACCACGCACAGCTCGCTTCCATGCCACTTTCTCTGGTGGAAAGAGGAAGAGGAATACTGTTGGCATTGACCATCCTGACCAATAGTGAAGGACCCTGGATCCACTGATCCTTCCACAAGCCATTTTGTCCAGCAATAAAATGTAAAGATTCACGAAGTTTGTGTTTTATAACTATAAGAGAAAGAAAATACAAGTAATTTCTATATTTCTGAACAAACTGTGCATACTTATTATAATATAATGATATTTCAAGGGCTTGTGGTAATACCAGGATATGATAACCTAGTGTCAAACAGGGAATTAATGCCACATGTTGCCACTTAAGGTACTGTAAAATTTTCAATTGGGGGGAGTTTGAAATAAGAGGATTCTTTCTTAAATTTAGGGTATAATTTTATAGTACATTTTTTCTTGGTCTGGAAATTGAATACAGTATCTCACAGACATGGAAATATTATAAGTGTCTGAATAATATGAGTTCTAGGTGTGAAACATGGCACTCAACAGCACCTCAACTATTCACAAACCACAGAGTATCGCCTACTAATACAAATTGGTTCAAAGCAAATTGAAAATATTCAGGGTGAACCAAACCCAAATGAGGACCCAAACGCATGTTATGTCAGCTGTGCTACAAAACTGAAAGGCAAGCAGGGAAGGAGTTTGGTTTGATAATTGTCAAAGACTGATAGACTGAGGTCTGTTGGATATAGTTAAGGCCTCAGCTATAGGTTGCTACAAAGAGAAGTTTTATCAGTCTTAATCTGTCCATAGAAAATGCCATCTGCCAATCCTCCCAATCCTCCCTTTAAGTGAAAGAAACTGAGTTTCCAACTAGGAGCTCCTGGAAGACAAGTAGGAGGGCGCCTTACGGTGTGGCTCCACCATCATCATGGCCTCCTTCTCAGACATTACGAGCTGGCAGAACTGGTCCCCGACATTGGCCAGGATGTATTTTGAGGTCTCTAGGTCTATCCCTTCTGCTAGGGAGGAAGAGGGAATCCACAGGTTCATGGCGTCAGGGTCACTTTGCTGGGGACTTAGAAACCCCTCCACACGGAGTACCCCCTTTCTAGTGAAGATCAACCTGAGATAGGAAGGTAGACAGTCAAACACATGGTAAATAGCAGTAGCAATGCAAACTAACACAAACCTAATATCCTAGGATCTAAAAGAAATCAAATGAGACTTACGAATCAGGGCTAAGAATTTTCACCATATTTGACCAACATAGTATGCATTCTCTGCTGACAGGAAGGCTTATTAACACTTAGAGGTATCAATTCTTTAAAAAGCTGACCCCAGAGTTGCTATCAGTTTTTCCATCCACCTTTTCTACATCTGCACCCATGCCACTGAATGTGACCAGAGAAAAAACACACGGCCATCCTCATTGTCACACTTTATTTTTTTCTCATTGTCAAACTTTAAATTCATGTCCACCTATCTCAGGTGAGCTCTTAATATTGCCTGACAGTCACAATACAGTTTCCTGATGTACTCCCTCTCCTAGATGCCTGTTTCATACCTTCTTTTCTTTTCTTTCTTTCTTCTTTTGTTTGTTTTGCTTTTGGTGGCTGGCCAGTATAGGGATAACCTTGGATCTTGGTATTATCAACACTACACTCTAACTAACTAAGCTAACTGGCCAGCCTTTCTTTGTTTTCAAACCTCTAATATTACTTGCCTCATGAGGACCTCACTTCCCATTCCACTGAGAAAAAAGGAGCCAGAAGAGAACTTCCACAAGCTCCTGCCACCATACTACCTACCTTCCTGCAACTGGGCCCAAGTACCCCATCTGATCTCCTGCTACTCTCAAGTAGGTACCAGTGACGGCCAATCTCTCCACCTACATCCTATTCCTTTCCCCCAATTCAAAGGCATTCCCCCTCATTCTCTCCTCTTTTCTACATCATCTGTTTTCCTCTCTACCAAATCTTTCTTGTCAGCATTTAAATTTGCTACAACTTCTATCACAAAAATCCTCTCAACCCATCTTCTTCCATTTATCTGCTTGTTAGAACAACATTCCTTGAAAGAGTTGTCCATACTCATTGTTGTCAATTCCTTCCCCTTTTATTTTCTCTTAATCCACTACAATGAGATATTCTCCCTACCAATCTACCAAAACTATTTTTTTTTCCTTTTTGTCTTTTTTACTGGCCGGTAACGGGATTGCAACCCTCGGTGTCGCGCCCGTACTGGGGACCGGCAACGGGATCGCAACCCTCAGTGTCACGCCCGCGCCACGCTCAGCCAGTGAGCGGGAACCGGTCACCACATGGGATCCGAACCCTCGGCAGGAGCGCCGCCATGCTCCCAAGCGGCGCACTTTCCAGTGCGCCACCGGGTCGGCCCTACCAAAACTATTTTTGACAGGGCCATTACATCTTGCTAAATCAAATGGTCACTACTTCCTGTCCTTATCTCACATGGCCTGTCAGCAGCATTTGACACAGTGTTATTTCTTCCTGGAAATACTTCCTTCAGTTGTCTTCCAGGATACCTCATTCCCTAGTTTTCCTACTAACTCACTGGCTGTTCTTTCTCAGTCTCTTTTACTAGTTCCTTCTCACCTTTCCTATCTCTAATCGTTGAAGAGTGCCAGAACTCAAACTTTGAACTGCTCCTCTTCTTTATGTTCATTCTGACTGATTTGATCTCAGTTAGAATCATGGCTTTAAATACCTAGTGATATCCAAATTCCTATCTCCAGGTGCAACCTCTTCCCTTAAGTCTAGAGTTGTATAAGCTGCCCTCTCAATATCTCCATCTGGAAATCTAACAGGCACCCCAAATTTAACATGCCCAAATTAAAACTCCCCGTTTTCCTCCCCAACCTGATTTTCCCTGAGAAATCGTATCAGTAAATGGCAATCCCATTTTTTCAGTTTTCAGGCCAAATTCATAAAATCACCCTTAACTCCTTCCTTTCATACTCTACATCAAATCCATCAGAAAATTACGGCAATCTACCTTCAAAATATATCCAGAATCCAACCACTTATCCCCCCCAAGTCTAAGCCAGCATGTTTCTCACCTGGATAATTCCAACAGTCTCCTAGCTTCTTTCTGTTTCTGCCCTTGCTTCCATATAATCTATTCTCAAGAAAGTAGTCAAAGTAGTCTTTTAAAACATTAATCACTGTCACTCATCAGCTCAAAACCTCCAATGACTTCTCACTCAGAGTAAAATCTAAGGCTCTTGGAGTGGCCCTTTAAAATCTGGACCCATCATTAACTCCTTTGACCTCAACTCTCTTTCTCCCCTTGTTCACTCTATTTTATCTACCCTAGCTCTATGGACACACCAGGAAGAGACCAGGTTCAGAATGGTAGCTCTTGTCTGGAATACTTGTCTCCCAGATAACCATGTGGCTTACTCCTTCACCTCTTGCAGGTAGTTCCTCAAATACCACTTTCTCACATAATCCTATTTAAAATTATAGCCTCTCTAGCCACCCCTTAAATCCTCTTTCTTTTATTTTTCTCATACTTATTACCAGCTGAAATACCATTTATTTAACTTCTATTTTTCTAATTTATTGTCTGCCTCCACAACTCCTCCTCAAACTTTCTGAGGGTTGGAATTTGATGTTTTGTTCATTGCTGAATCTTCAATGCCCAGAACAATGGCTAGATAAAGTCAATAAATATTTGCTGAATCACCTATTTGGATTTCTTTATTTTAAAAATTAAAGATTCTTGAAAGATCATCTCAAAGAAACTCCTAAGTTTATCAAGCAGCAGAAGAGTAACTAAATTGCTGTTGTTTGTTAAAAGCAGGGGATAGTCCCAGGATTTTCATCAGTTATCTATTTCAAAGATGCATCACATTGACTCCCAAAAGTACTTCTCCTTCTCTAACATGACTCAAGTTACTCTAGCACTGAAGAGGAGTAAGTGGCAGGCAGATCCATGATATAAAATGGAGTTCTGCTGCTTACACCACTGGTTTCAAATAGAACCCGAGTTAAGAATAACTCAGGGAATAGCACAGGGCCAGGCCGCAGCTAAGACTCCAAAGCTTCAATTCTCCAAGGACAAAACCACATGTCATTTTACAATCCAAACCACTAAGTCACTACTATGACAGAGCCTCAGCAAAGACCCTGAGGGCAAAGAGGTTAAAGAAAGTGAGCAGCAAGATGGTGAGACATGTTTACAGATTCAGAGAAAGAGTGGGGGTTATATGTCACTCACGAAACCTGCGAAAGGAGGCAGAGAGAAGTATGGGTACCTCCGGAAGTGAAAGAAGCGGCAGGCTACAGTAGAATCATCTTGCTCCTGTTCCTTAAACTTCCGATACCGCTCCAGGCGACACTCACGACACTTGTGCAGGTGAGGTGCCACGTTGATGCATGACCCATCCTGCAGGAAGGGCTCTCCAGACTGCTTCAGCTTCTTCACTTTGCTCACATCTTTCAGCACGGACTGGCCAACTGTGGCAAGGGAGGAAGAAAAAAGGTTGTTATGAGAGGTATAAATATGATGCTCTTGGGGACAGACATTTTTCCTGACCTGGGCTGCTCCTCCTTGCACTACTTGGGCATGTACCCATTAGGTACATCTTTGACAAAAGGGGAAATCAGGGAACAAAGAGGCTTCAACTAGAAGATAAGGACCATGGAGAACTTGTGCAAAGTGCCCCATTACAGTGAAACAACTCTTAAGCACAGATGTGAAAAACCCATGAAGGCAGAAGGTAGCCATCACCTGCCTCTAACCCCTCAGGATATGGCTATTCTGTTAATTAAGGCCTTTTCAGCTCCCATAGGATACCAATTCCTAATGAAACAGCTACTTTCACCGCTAGACTTTTTCTTACACACTTCTGGACCATAACCTCACACCACAGAAGTTAATGGATTTTGATAGAGGTATTAAAATCGTTATGCGTGTTTCAGAGAAGAGCTAAATTGAGGGGTGATTGTCTGCTTCATCAAATGTATAAAAGGCTGCTGTGTGGGAATGGAGACCAGTTCTCAGTTAACTCCCGTGAAGTACATTAAAGAGGATGAGCCAAACTAAAGTAGAAAGGGATGAAAGAAACACAAGGAAACAGTTCCTGACCAAAAATAACAGACTGCCAAGGAAGATCAAGAGTCCTCCTCTGTGGGATTATCATCATATGGGACAGAAAGCCCTCTTTCTTACAGTGCTAGTTTAGATGCAATCCTGCCCTGTACCAGGTCTGATAAGGGACCTCTGTCAGGCCCTTTTGGCTCTGTACTTCATAGAAGTTTTCATCAAAGTGAGGGCCTCTGCTACACAAGAGCACAACAGGAATTCGAGTCTAGTGCCAGAGCAAAGCCCATGTATAGCCCCAGCAGGATCACCTTTCAGAGGGGCGGTCCGAGGCCGGCCCTTGGGGGCCTGCTTCCCTTTGCCTTTGCCCAGCAACAGCTCAGCACTGCGCTCCCCATTGGGACCCAGCTTCCCCATCAGGTGCTCTGGAATCCCCTTTAGGCCAGTCTTGGCCTGCAGCTGCTCCTCAGAGTCGCTCAAATCTGACAGGTCACTGTTGGTGCTGGAGTCCGAGTCCTGTCTACAAGCCAAGCTTCGCTCATCCAGTGAGAACCTTTTCACAGCTTCAAAAGGAGCTTTGTTTTCCTGTGAAAAATCTGCTGGGGAGGACAGAAAGCTGCCTGAGTGCCTGCCAAAGATGTTACTAAAGGTTTTGAGGAGGGGATTGTCCTGCTGCCCAGGCCCCACAGTTGGCCTCTCCTCTGTGGGGCTGGAGGAGAGAGTAGGCATCTCAATGGGCTGGGTGAGGCTGCTGGTGGGTGAGCTGGAACGGCCATTCCCCATGGCAGAGAGGCTTGGGCCTCCGGTAGTAAGAGCTGAGCCCAGAACACCAGACACCAGCTTGGAGGAGTCAGTTGTAATGAAGAGGGTTTTTTTCTTCGCTAAAGTTGCCGAATCTGCAGAGGAGTGAGATTCGGGCCAGCTGGGTACTGCCTTGGAGGTGATGGTGGTAGCAGAGGAAGAGCTACCTGATGCCTGAGATGCAAAGCTGCTGAAAGGGCTATGTTCAACTTTCTCCACAAATGCCAGGAAAGGGTTAGAAGGCTCTTCTCGGGACAGTTTGGGGGGCTGTAAAAATAGATTTTCATGACTCTCTGGGGTGCGGGTATTTAAGAGGCTCCGTGGGAAGGCTGGAGTGAGGGTGGGCATGGACTCTGCAGGCACTTTCCGGTCCACAGAGCTGCCAGCTTTAGAGCCTGGCTTAGTGTCTGCTCCAAGAGTGGATCTGCCTTTACACAAGCCTGAGCTCAGGCTCTCCAGGCTTTGTTTAAATGAGTCCCGACTGGAGGAATCATCAGCCAAACTCTCTGAAACAGTAGTGAAGTAGTTACTGGTGGGTAAAGTTTGGGACATGCATTGAAAAAACAAGTTTTTGGAGAGATCAGAGTCTTTCTGAGACTCTGGTGCAGAGCTACAGCCAAAAGAAAAGCCCAAAGGTTTCTTCTCTGTGGCTAGAACCCCATTGGATTGGCTTCTTCCACTTCCAAAAGTCAAAGGTTGCGATGAACTTGGGAGAGGTGCTCCAAATCCAGAAGAGGCCAGAATAGAATTTCTTGAATTCTGAAAGGAAGATAGCATGAGTTAGTAATGCTGGCTTCTCACGACAACCTAATATCTCTTTCTTGGAGCTACCTATCACTAGATCAACATTTCTTGCGGGTCAATTAACTTTTCTTTCCTACAATTCCATGGTTCTGCTCTAATAATTGGATTTCACAAGCATTGGGGAAGAATCCTGACACAGACACACAGAGGGCATCTTTAGCAAGTTGAGCCAGAGACAGTGGGATGTTATTCATCTTGCCACTCCCTTGGGTATCATCCAGTCGACTGTCATAGTGATAGGAGGCCATGTAGTCTTCTTAGTATCTATTTGGAAGTGGAGAAACTCCACTAGGAAACTGAGGAAAAGGGTTCCTGAAAAGATACCAGCTTTTACTTTTAAATATACCTAGTAACGCCTGTAATATTAATCTACCTCAATGACCCTAAGAGCTATTGTTAAAGTTTTGATGTACTTAAGCTATTGCAAACTGCTCATTTTACAAAAAGTGACTTCACTCCATGAGAAGTCCACTGTACATTAAATAAAAGTATTCTCTTTATTAATCTGAAACTCCACAAGATGGAGTGGCCATCTTCTGGAATTTGGCCATCTATTTATGGATTCAAATCAGTCTAAAAACTGAATATCTGTTTCAATTATTAAACACCTGTTTCAATTAAAAAAGCTAAATTCTTAAAGAAAGCAAACTATTTATTAAGACCTTTTGTTATAATTAAGATCTAACATGGACCTAGGCTCCAGGGAGGGAAAATGTATATACTACAATATATACCAAACAAAAACATTCAGCATAGGGCCGGCCTGGTGGCGCACTGGAGAGTGCGCCGCTTGGGAGCGCGGCGGCGCTCCCACTGAGGGTTCAGATCCCATGTGGAGACCGGTTCCCGCTCACTGGCTGAGCGCGGTGTGGGCGCGACACCGAGGGTTGCGATCCCGTTACCGGTCAATAAAAAAGACAAAAAGGGGAAAAAAAAAAAAAACATTCAGCACAGCAAACTGAAGAATGAAATGATAAAACACTTTCCTTTCCTTCTTTTTACTTAGAAAATGTTAACTTCTGCAATGTGAATGATTGAGTGGATCAAGAAGGGTGGGGACATTTTCATATATAATATGCACCCATGTGCATACACAGAGACAGCAATAGGTAGGTAAAAGTCTCTTACTTAACATTTGTTAATCTAATAAAACCCAGGTTCTGGTACTTGACTTGCAAACCATAGAAAACTAAAAACATTAACCTTGAAGTAGTAAAGGATATCCCTAAACATTTACTTTAAAACATTGGAAATAAAAATTATTCCATGACTCCTTAACGAATATTGTATTTCCTTTTAGGGTGATGAAAATTTCTGGAACTAGATAGGATAGTGGCGATGGTTTTACAATATTGTGAATGTAGTAAATGCCATAGAATTGTACATTTTTAAATGGCTAAAATGGGAAATTTTATGTTATGTGTATTTCACCACAATTTAAAAACACTATTCCAGATAAACAAAAGGGTGGCTGTTTTTAGAAAAGGGTGAATTTCCATTTATTTAATCTACTCTTTAAACATGCAAGAGCAGTCAATATTGGGCTTTTCTTGAGAATACAAGAGGCACAAGAACCAGGCAGGCCACTTACTGCGTGGCTCCAATTGACACCTGCCACAGAGATTGCTTCAGGGCATTTTAGAGTTAAAAAATTAAAAGCTCATTTTCTTTCTTCTTTTTCTTCCCACTAAATAACTAGCATTGACTTAAACCCCCTCTCCACAAGAGAAGAAGAGAATAGACAGACACAGCCCTAAGGTTTTGTTGTGGTTTCATTAGTAGGATTTGGCCAGGAGCCTTGACACCTGTAGGACTGCAAGGAACTGGCATAGGCAGCTCATGTTTCACTACTAAAGTTACCCTTTAAAAATAAATACACACATGAATGAAAAATAATTTGATGGTCTTTCATTTTCCTTCAAATGATTAAATTCCAAATCCTTTTCTTATAAGAAAGTAATGACAGACTGATTTCAACTCAGTTTTTAGGGCAAGAAGCTTCTCAGTGGCTGTGACTCTATTTTAGATTAAGCATTGTAATGAAAACATTCATTTCTGTACTTGTAAGTCATATCCCAGGAGAAGACCTAGGCTGAACCATTACTAAAATGACAGAAATTTCTCCAATTTGTTTGAAAGAAAACACCCTCCAAATCCACATATCATCTATTCAGCTTTGCTACTCCAAGAATAGCAGCATTCAGTGGATCTCTTCTTGTAGCATGTAAAATTTGGTCTATCTTGTAAGTCCCATATACACTCACACCGCCTCTGACATGAAGCTGATTTTAAATAATTCAGGTACTATGATGACTTACAAACACTGGAAATTCACATAAGATGCTCACCTGATTCTCTGGGGAATGCTAGTCAACTAACAGGACAAACGATGAACAGTATGAAATTTGTATTTACAGGCCTTCTCCTTTTCTAGCTAACCATTCTATCTCCCTCCCCCTTCTGCACACTGAGGATTAACAAGTTGCATTTGCTAAGGGGAGGAAGAAATCAGATGAAATGTATGTGCCATGTTTTATCTGGCATTGTTATTATACCTGAAATCATTCCATTTTAGAACGCGAGCTCCTCCAAATAGGGATTTCAATTCTTTACTTATAATACATAGTACTTAGCACACAGTAGGTTCCTACTTACAATTTTCAAAAATCATTAAACATTTCATCTTTGTATTTCATATTCTAGCTTAGCTAGCAGCCCATTTGAAAGAAGAAAAAAAATAAAAAAAGATTAGCACCATAAATCATACTCTGGTGACCAGAATTAGTCGAAAATACTATACAGCTGATTTTGATATTGTTTCAAATTTGGATTGGGGAGTTAACTTGATGTTAACTTACATTTAACAAAAATTCCATTTTAGCAATGATATATGAATATCAGACAAAGAACAGAGTAAACTAGATACTACTGTGATTAAATCCACCAATTTTTCTAGGTAAGACTTAAAAAGATGAAGTTAGGGAGAAAAAGGAAGTATTCATGACTATATCAAATGATGGAAAGCAGCCCAGCCTCAAGAGAAAGTATCATGAAAATGATGAACTGAAAACAGGGTAATGGTAGCTTGCACACATAGTTTTAATTACAGTGTTCACTATTAGCAACACTGTGATTCATTAACCTTGCCTCTCAGAAGCCTGATGAAGGCTCAAACCACTATGTGAACTAAATAGATAACCGAATTAAAAAGATTCCCCACCAGATCTATTTTAACATCTCATTAAATTTGGTTGTATAATCAGTTTTTCATTAGCCCAATAGTTCAGGTGACTTTTGAAGAGCTGATAAAGTTATTAAAACATACACATTTGCCCAATGGCAGTAAAGTCCTATCCATAAAGTACAATTTAAGCACATCTCAGAAATACTCCTTCCTCGGGGCATTTGAGATGCTTTTTAATGTGTTAACAGTAAAGGAGGATGAAAGAGTGAACCCAAATCTTGCATATCTGCCCCTCGAGCAGCAACTCACCTCTCCTGAGGCCTGTGACCGGCTGCCTTTCTGTTTTTCTGGCCCAGTCCCTGAAGCAAGGCCAGTGTCTGAGATCCTCACCGTGGTTGGGGTGGAGCTGGCGGTAGTGACCACAGCTGCTGAAGCCACCATGCCCTGGCCAACTTGTTCCAGTGTTTTTCCTGCCTCTTTGTTTTCAGCTCCACCCACCTCTGGTGCCAAAGGTGTCTGACCTGTGGCTGTAGAATATGGAGTGAAAGGTACAGGTGTGTCCCCACCTACAGGCTCATCCTGCACCACCAGAGTCCTGCCGTTTTCTTTGGTGTAAGTGGCAAAGCGAATGTTGCGGTTAATCTGAGGAATAAATGTAGACGGTGGCTGCTTGGCTTTCTGATCCAGCCCTGGCTCTCCACTGGCATTCCCTCCTTTCCAGGGCCCTCGGCTTGCCTCACCTCCATCGCTCCCATTACTGTCTACTTCACCCCTGTCTCCTTTTAATTTCTTTGATGCAGGGTCACACCCTGAGTCCGAAGCACTTTTCCTCCTCCGGCCATCTTTCCCCTCTATGCTCTCTCTCTTCTTCTTTCCTTTGGAAGATTTTACTGCTTTTAACGTACCCCCCTACAAAACAAAATTCAAAAAAGATTTATTACAAGGGACCTTCCATCCTGTGAAAATCACAAACCATTAGCTCTTTCCCAACTCTAGAAGCAGAAAAAGCAGGCAAAGATTGCAAAGTTCCAATGCCAGCTCTAAGACATTCCCTTTGTCAAAAAGCTGCAATCTTCCTGTGACTCAATTTATACACACACTCAAGATAATAGTTACTAGAGATGAACTCACTTGGCAAACCTCTTAAAATGCACTACTTCCTCAAATGAACTTTTTAGAGGGTTTTCACAAGTTGTGGAAATTGTTTTACAAAATAGACTGTTAAACTAGGAGGGGAACTCATTTGCCCTATCAGGAAATAACTCATTTTATTACATATTTACTCTCTGTTTGACAGAAACTTGCATTTTAAGTATTAAAAAATGAAATCTCTCTACTCTGAAGTCACTAAAACCAACATTTGTCTGTGACCAAAGGAAAAGAAAACATGACAGAAAGGTTATTTAAAAACTCTGGGCCTTATTTCAAAGCATTAGACAAAGGAAAGGGCCTTACTTCAAAGCATTAGACAAAGGAAAGGGAAAAAGCACGAACAGCCACATCTCTTATCTCTTTTAGTAATTATTGAGAGGCCAGACAACAAAAAAGACACAGGATTAGAAGGCGCAATTCCTATCTCCATATAAATTCCTCCTCTGAGAATGATGAGGGGAGATGGGCATGCAGCTAACATTCTCTTGAGCAATCTTTATGCAGCATGGACTTACATCTGGAACATTTTTAGGTTGGTATACCACCACAAAAAAGATATCTGTTTTAGCTTTATTCAGATAACTTTCGGATAGCTCTATTCAGAAATGGGTATTGGGGTTAATAAGCTACTGACATGGCATTATTTAGCCATTAATATTTGTCAACTCAATCTCTTTCTGCCCTTGAATAGTCACAGATCTTTGCAGATCTATATCTTTATTGTAATTATTATCATAGTTGTTATAATGGAAACTTTTTCAAATTTTATATTTCTTGCCAGTTCTAGTTTCTGTATTTTTGGTTTTTTGCTGCCTTCATTTCCATCTTTCCTCTCAATTTCCTTCTATAACTCTTAAACAAAGCTCAAGATTTATTTGTTTCCCCCATACTTCTATAATATCCAAGTTTTCAAATCTTTCATTCAAAAACTGTTTCTGTTTGCTAAGCATTATTTTCATTTGATCCTCTTTTAAAACTTTTTTCTTCTTTCTTCAACCCTTATCACCCCCCAGTTTTCAGTGTTGTGAACTACAGAAGTACAATCAGTGAAATCTGTCCTTTCTTTCTTGCTCATTCACTCATACTCGCACTTAAAGGAGATGAAGTAATCATGGAACTTGGCAGAACTGTCAATGATAATTATACTTTGCTAGCTAGGAAGATAGTCACATCATGGCAAAGCCAAAAAGAACCAACATCTGCTACTCAAAACCACAGATACCTCCTCTAACTCATACAGCCAACTTGCAGAGCCTGCCTCACAGCCATCTCTTATCATTCCCTAAACAAAAACTTACATGTTATGTCCTACTTACGGTGAGCTACTCACATGCGAGTAGGTAGCTTAGGACACAGAGACTAGTACTCACCAGTTTTATTTTGCCAGCTGAACAGTACCTGGCATACAATAGGTGCTTAATGAAGGAAATGAATAAAAAAGGGGCCCAATACACCATCAAAGTAACAGGTGTTCTTAGCCATGCAAGCATAGTCAAGAGGTGTATCCTAGTCACGGTAATATAATACATAGTAAAGAAGTATTAAATTTAGCCCTGATTCTTCTTTTCCTACTCTGATCTTGTTTTACAAAATCAAGAATGACTGTATAAAGAAAATGAGGAAGGACTATATACTTAGCAGGAGTGGCCAAGACAGCAGTATTACAGAGGTGCTAAGACACTATGAGGAATATGTGGACAGCTGGCCTGTTAAAGGAAATTCACACAGGATTCCTTGACTGGTTCGAGCAGAGATTTATCTTTTCTTTGGCTATAATAATTATATATATAATAAATCATAATATAATAATATTAAGAACCAAGAGTTAGCCTGGTTCAAAATAATTATGGAGTAATCCACTGTGTGCTAAGCACAGAATTAGGCATCTGTATGATTTGATTCTACTTGGGAATACAGAATTTCAGACTCCCTTGGAGCTCACTGCCACCTAATGGAAAAAAAAAAAATGTGGTCTCTCCTTCATTTCTTGTTACTGAGTAGGTCATGAATATTAATACTGTTTATTGCAGTTTTAACTGTCAACTGTGTCTTTCAAATATACCTGTCCTGAGAGAATATAAGAAGAAATAGTTCTTGGATTTTAAAAAAACTAAGGAACATAGCCATGATTAAAGGGGTTTGCTCAAACTAGGTCTCTTTCTTGACCCTATCTTCCCTTAACCAGACAGACTGTGGAAAGTACAAAAAATATACAGTGGCCAGAGCTGAATAACCCAAAGGGCATCCATGGAAAAGACACATATAAGAAATCTACATAAGAAGATAATGTGAACTCATGAGTTTGCTCAGAGATTCTGTCCATTACTATACCTCACTCTGAGGCGTCGAGTTATCCATCAGCATCACATGGATTAGTCTGGGATCTACCGACTTGATCTCACCACTCTACGGTAGGAGCCGGACAATAGAAAATATGAAAAAAGGGAAAAAGATATTTAATGCCTTGTTCACCAAGAAATCATTATGTATTTTCCTAATCTATGTAATTACCTATTTATTGTTTCTATTCCCCTTCTAGGAGGAAAGCTCCCAGAGATCTCTACTGTCTCATTCACTGCTACAACATCTGAAACAAGGTCTGGAACATAGTAAGCATTCAAATATTTGTTAAATAAATGAATGAGAGAATTGAGTTCAATGCCCAAGTGTGTATTTTAGGGATGTTAATTTCAAATTCTACATCTCAAAAGCCTTCCTATTCTGTATATTACGAAACCAGAAACCTTCAGAACCAACAATCATGAAAAAATTACTCTAGTCTTAAAGAATGAAAACTTCAGGGGTGGGGGCAATTTGATAGAAAGTGTCAAATTTATTGTACATATCCTTTGACCTAGCAATTATAACTTAGGAATTTATTCTAACAAATAATGTGAAAGGATATTCAAGGATATCACTGTGGCATTATTTGTATTAGTAAAAATACTGGCAATGACTTAAATGTCCATACATTTTAGATTAAATTAGTTATGATACATCCATTCAGTGGAACAGCATGCATCTATTTTAAAAGGACAAGGCAGATCTCTATACTTACATATAAAGATGATCATTATATAGAATTAAGTAAAAAAGGTAAATTATATATAACCATCTGTATCATACAATCCCATTTGTTGCTAAGGTGTGACATATAATTATATATCATATAAATACATAATATATAAATATTATTATATATACATACACATACATATACACATAGAAAATATTTGGAAGAGGGCTGGCCCGTTAGCTCAATTGGTTAGAGCACGGTGCTGATAACACCATATTCAAGGGTTCAATCCCTGTACTGGCCAGCCACCAAAAGAAAAAAAAAAATTGGAAGACTGTGGAATGGAATACATGAAATTTTTAAATGAAAATTTATTATCTTAATTTTTTAAAAACTTAATAAAGACAAATAAATAAAAGCACATTATGTTTACAATATACAAGGGTCTTCAAAAAGTTCATGAAAAGATTTGTATTATTATTATTATTATTTATTTATTTATTTTTTTAAAAGATGACCGGTAAGGGGATCTTAACCCTTGACTTGGTGTTGTCAGCACCACGCTCAGCCAGTGAGCTAACCGGCCATCCCTATATAGGATCCGAACCCGTGGCCTTGGTGTTGTCAGCACCGCACTCCCCCGAGTGAGCCACGGGGCCGGCCCAATTTGTATTATTTTTAAATTCTATTTTTCCATGAACTTTTTTTTTTTTTTAAAGATGACCGGTAAGGGGATCTTAACCCTTGACTTGGTGTTGTCAGCACCATGCTCACCCAGTGAGCTAACCGGCCATCCCTACATGGGATCTGAACCCATGGTCTTGGTATTATCAGCACTACACTCTCCAGAGTGAGCCACGGGCTGGACCTCCATGAACTTTTTGGAGTACCCTTATATGTGACTGCTAAGGGCAAGTCTTAAACCAATTAAAAGATGTCACAGCAGGAAGAAAAAAAAAAAAAAACAACACAAATATATTATAAATAGGGCTGGCCGGTTAGCTTACTTGGTTAGAGGTGGTACTGATAATACCTAGCTCAAGGGTTCAGATCCCCATACCAGCCAGCCACCCCCCCACCCCCCCAAAAGATGTAATAAATACATATTTCTTTGCCTCAAAACACTCGTCTACTGTTTTTCCTAAACAATTCTCCAGGTATCACTGAATATTATGTTCTTTCTGTTTATTTCATTAGGAACAATTCATTTTCTTCAGCCTCCAGTAGTGGGTGGTATCAGAATTATTACAGAAGTAAATGCTAACTGACTAGTTTTTGAACTACTGACTTTTATGAATATGATAAAATTATAATGCCACTTTACATTTGTATATTGTTCTACAGATTTCAAAGAACTTCCAAATACATTTTTCCAGTCCCCAAATCAGTGTGCTGTAAGGTCAGTGGGGGTTTATATAATTACCTCTAATTTACAAACGAGAACAGTGAGGTTAAAAATGTTGAGCAGCTGGGCCAGCCTGGTGGCGCACTCGGTAGAGTGTGGCGCTTGGGAGCGCGGTGGCCCTCCCCGCCGAGGGTTCGGATCCCATATAGAGACCTGTCCGCTCACTGGTTGAGCGCGGTGCGGGCGCAACACCGAGGGTTGCGATCCCGTTGCCGGTTGCGGTACGGGTGCGACACAGAGGGTTGTGATCCCGTTACCGGTCACAAAATTAGACAAAAAGGGGGAAAAAAAAAAAAAAGTTGAGCAGCTTTTCTCAGGGTCATATAATCATTAAGTGATCGAGCCAGGGAAGGAACCCAAGGTGCCTTATAGGTAATAAAGTGCTTGCCTTCTCTACACCATCCTCTGAAAGGGGATGGATGAACTTTAGATGAAATAACTCAAAACCTCACCTCAGTTACAGACACCTCCATAAGACGGGTGATGGAATCTTGATGGCTTACAACACCATAGAGCCACCCTTCTTCCCCCTCTGGCTGGTATACCTTGACCCTGTGACCTTGAACACTGTAGGGACCTACAGGAGAGATCAATCAGTATTAAATATTTATGGCTAAGCTATATTTCATAATTGTTTCTAAGAGCAGAAGGAAAACTATATGACGTAAATATCTGGCATTTTCAGTCCCCTTTTATAGTTAAATAAACGAGTAATTCCAGATTCATCACACTTAACAATTTAAAAACAAAACATAAATTATTTTCCCCAATGATCTTTGTAAATTCTTCACTTATTTGGAGATTCCTTAGAATCTAGGGCTGGCAGGTTAGCCCAGTTGGTTAGAGCATGGTGCTGATAACACCAAGGTCCAGGGTTTGATCCCTGTACTGGCCAGATGCAAAAATAAATAAATAAATAAATAAATAAATAAATAAATAAGAGAAATCTTCCAGGCCCCTAATTCCACCTCTGCCAAAGTCCAAGGGCTAAAACTTGGAGCAGGATGGGAATCTGGTGTTCTACCTCCTGAGCCTTCTACTACCCTTTTTGATGGTGAATTCTAGGTTTCTTAATCTTCCAATTATGAATGTAATATAGGAAGAGAAGGAAACTTACAAATCAAAAACTATGATTAGAGCTGCCTGGATAGTTCAGTCAATTAGAGAGTAGTACTGATATAATCAAGGTCTGGGTTTCAAACCCTGTACTGGCCAGCAAAAAAACCACACACTTAAAAAAAAAAAACAAACAAAAAAAAACACCTACAGGTAGTATGGAAAAATACTCAGATACTGACATGTACATAAAAAAAGTGAGGACACTAAGTTGAATGTGTTATTATGTTAAATGACCATAGGAGTGATATATAACCCTTTACATTTTGCTATCTGACTTTTAATAACAGTGGGTGGAGAGTTCACTTTATGAGGTTTCCAGCCTCTGCACTAGCAAGAGTCTGAACAAATATAGCACCTCTCTTCCTAGGAACACAGAGTTTCAAAGATATTACTTTATCAGCAGGTAATGTGTTACCCGGCAATTTCAGCTGGCCCTCCAAGACAGTCTCTCTTTCCTGCATATTGCTGTACATTTGAGACTATAGTTAAATCATGCCTAATTTTAGATTATTCTCTCTTGGAGCTATAATTAAAATTCCTTAATTTTTCTATACACACTCATATACATCTCCGCCTTTCATTATGTCTGCTTTTTTCTTCTCTAGTACCAATTTTTCCTCACATTCTTTTTTCTTCCATACATCTCCTTGATTATTGAACATCATCCAATAATAATACCTTCCTTCCCCAATAGGTCCATTTTCTTACTTTTACATTGGATTTATTTTGACAAAAAAGAACCAACAACACTATATCACTGAAAATAATGATTACCGTGAGGCTCAGAAAGGAAGGGGAATGGAGGTACAACATGGAGGGAGGGATAAATGAAGCAATAGTCTACCCTTTGTATAGAATCCTGGGCAAAACCTATATCTGAACTAGAAAGCTAATAAATTTTTTTTATTCTTAAAAATAATATGCTGTTAATCTGAATGAGCCTATGGACATGTTTTATAAATATACTTTGCATTCTAAGTTATCTGTTGGTGTTAACAGTCTTTAGTTCTTGAGAAATTTGCTGATAGTAAGTTCAACAAAAGCAAAGATGTTCTAGCTCATGGCCATATCTCCAATGCCTTAACACTGTGTTTAGTAAGTCCTCAATAAATATCTAAGAAAGGAAAAAAACCCCCACAAAACTAAACTTGCATCAAAACTGTATTATGAAATGTAGAATGAAGAGGAAACACTGGTCTGTGTGAGATCCTCTTTTTCCAGTCTATGCTAGAGATCCAGCTAACTGGAGATATTCTTGACACTATCCACAAAAAGAAGATAGGTACAAACGTTTAAAGTGGTGTGGTGTCCCACTCTATCACTCAACATTGACCATTCACCTGATTCAGAGTTCAGGGACAAAGTCTACCTGTTCTTACCTCGGCTGAATATCTCTTGTAGCTTTTGGTCACTGATCAAAGCATTAACTGTTTCTCTCAGTGCAGCATGTTCCAAAAGAATTTGGTTTTGGCTATCTGTTCCCATCTGGTAAAGATGAAAGAAGAAAACTGAATATTAAAATGAACAGCAATAACATCTAACCAGATGAGAAAAATCATACCCTAAGGTGCTCTATATCAATAAATATAGGTATTTAGTGCGATCCTCTCAGATAACAAGAGAAAAAAATTTTCTTTTTTTTTTTTTTGCCAAAGAATGTCTGTAGAACTCTAGTCTTCTGAGATACTCTGCAAAAAATTAAGGATGCTAGGATCAATCAGGATTAGGAAATATTATATACTATACCTTTCTACATACAATAGCATATTAAAGGCTCTACAAGTCATAAAGGAAAGAAACCTGTTCAGGCCAGTGTTTCTTATACTTATTTGACCACAGAATATTTTATTCCATGTAACTCTTTTTGCTTATTTTGATATTTAACCAAAATTTACTGAGTGCCATCTCATATAAGCATGAAGATTATAAAGATGAATAAAGCAAGGTTGCTGAGAGGGAGGTGAGGCCTAATGAGTGAGAAAGACATATCAGCAAAGAAATCATCATTAATATCTCACAAAACACAGTGTAGGAAATACCACTTGTAGCTGTCTCATTAAGACAGCAAAACTCAGCTGTCCTGCATTTTGAGGGCAGCCCTGGGCTGCCTGTCACTTTGAGAGCAGCCTGGCAGATTCTTTTCCTTTAATAAAGCTTGAATGGTAAAAAGAAAAAAAAATTAAAAAGACAGCAAAACTCTCAGTAGTTTCCTAATTTTTTTTTAAAAATTATTTTTATTTTTTGGAAGTTTCCTAATTTTTAACCATCAGACAGAAACCCTTACAAGTGAAAAATAAATAGTACCATTCTTAAATTCTGAAACTACAATTCAGATGCTAATTTGTTTAAACACTAACTTATCCCTTTTCTTTGTAACTAAAGATATAAGTAAGTTCTTCAATATTTCATGCTGTTTGGAACCAGCCCAAACTCCTCCCAGCCACTTGCCAGTAAGGTAAGCATAGGCCCCCTCAGACCCAATTTACAGAAGCATCACCTCAGAGAAGTCACCTCTTCTGAAGGGACCCTTAGAATTTTGGTTTTAAGTCTTGGGTGGTTTTAAAGTGTGGTGGGGAATGAAGAAGACGAAAGAAGCCTCAGCCACCAAATGTACTTTTCAAGGGAGCAGAAAAACTTTAAAAGGCACAGGGGAATTTATTGGAGGAAGTAATAAAAGAAATGCTAAAAGAAAAGGGGAAATACCCATATTTATATCAACAAAGAAGTTAGTCCCAGACCAGCCACCTCTCCAAAAAAGAAAAAGAAATTAGCAAGGGGATAAATAGGCTCAGGAATAGAGCAAGTGTTAAATACCTGGAACAGATGCAACCCATTAGCATCTGATAGGAAACGAAGCTCTCGATCCAGAAGGTATTCGACTGGAACCACAGAACCCAAACCCAGTTTATCTACTAGGGGAGTGAAAGTCTGTGAAGTACAATGACAAGAAATTGATTAGAACTTGGAAATGAAAATAAATAACAATTCAATCAAACCTCTAACTTCAGAAAAAGTATCCGTTATTATTAATTATATCTTTCATCTCAGTAAATACAGGTAAGCTAAAGCATAAGTCCTTGGAAACATTCCCAACGCAGCATCTGCCCCTCAAATAATCATAGAATGCAAAATAAAGTAGAAAGTCAATAGTCTTATTTATTGCTAAAAAGCACAAAAGGAATAAGAAATTCCTCATTCTCCCTAGGGATCTGACTAATCTTTTTGCCAGGCTTTAAAAGGGTTAAGCTGGGCCGGCCTGTGGCTCACTCAGGAGAGTGCAGTGCTGATAATACCAAGTCAAGGGTTAAGATCCCCTTACCAGTCATCTTTAAAGAAAATAATAATAATAATAATAAATAAATAAATATAATAAAAGGGTTAAGTTTTAGTAAATTCCCAGAATAAAGAGTTACATTGTTATCACATCTAGAACTCCTGAAATCTTTGTGAGATTTCTAAAATAATCAGTGGTACATATAGGAATGGGTAAATTCATATACTATTTCATAACTAAATGGACTGTAAAGGCATGCTGAGACCCCATTTATAAAAGAGCTTCTCCTAAAAGTTCAACTAGAAAGTGCCCATAAAAACAAAGAAAGAAAATGATAATATCTACAACTGTTAGGTAAAAAATCTTCGTTTTGAATATTATTTAATTTAGTTAGCTACAGGAGAATTAAGATTTTTTTTAAAATGTTACTATTTATGCCTATACTTAGTTAACAGGATAGATGGAAACAAACAGATACTCTCAGAATTTTATAACACTGTTTTGTCTCACTTCATGACACAAAACTTGATAATTAAAAAGAAACTTCAAGGGGCTGGCCAGCAGCTCACTTGGGAGAGTGTGGTGCTGATAACACCAAGGCCACGGGTTCAGATCCTATATAGGGATGGCCGGTTAGCTCACTTGGAGAGAATGGTGCTGACAACACCAAGTCAAGGGTTAAGATCCCCTTACCGGTCATCTTTAAAACAAAAACAAACAAAAAAACTTCAGGGCTGGCTGGTTAGCTCAGTTGCTTTGAGTGAGGTGTTATAACACCAAGGTCAAGTGTTTGGATCCCTGTGCAGGCAAGCCACTGCCAAAACAAAAACAAAAAACTTTAAGTATTACAAACATTGTTTCAAAACTTTGTTATGAGAAGACTAAAGATGAAAAAATTCCTTAGAGAAAAAAAGTATCAAATATTATCTAATATACAAAGTTCTGGAGGACACAAGAGAAAAGTTCTCTCCTAATTTTTGCTTTGGTAAATTTAGAATAAAAATGTGTTAAAGGCAAAGCATAGAGTTTTGGGGAATTCTAAAGAGTTCAGCTACTGGGGAAAATACCATAGTTATAGTATAGGAACAAAGCTCAAATAAGCTCCTACTCAATAAAAGCCACTCACCAGAGCTGGCCACTGTGCAATTGACACTCGAGTGCCCTGGAGAAGGACTGGGTCCTTCCGGGGTGCCCATACAAGTGACCCTTCCAACAGAAGCACAATAACTTCTTCAGCATGAACTTTAACCCAGGAGTGTTGCTTCCAGTTACAGCCATCAAATTCTACAAAGATCTGCAAAATGAGATAAAAAGCAGTTTGAACGCCACATTTGGAAAAATTCCACACTTATATGAACAAACACAAACCTCCTCTTTTGAACAACTAATAGAAATTCTACTAACTTGTTCTTAAGTTCTTTTAATGGATGTCAATTAAAACTGATCCTACTTGAAAGCTGGTCTGAAAAGTGGGAACAGAGTTAAGGGGACATAGTTATCCATGCTATTCAGTAATTTTTAGGGTTTTTTTGCTAAATTTTTAATGAAATTTGCAACTCTTAGTTTCCAATTCATATCTACACACATTAGCTGAGGGCTTACTATAAGGTACTGTGCTAGGCTCACAAATACAACAGAATCTGCACACTTCCTGGTCTCAAAGAGCTCATAGTCTAATAGAAAGAGAAATTTTTTTAACTTCTACTGAAAGTTAATGTGAACTTCTTTTACTAATTTTCTGAATAGGTAATATATGCACATGTTACAAAATTCAAAAGGATAAACACTTAAAAAAAATAGTTGCCCTCCCAGTCCTATGTGTAGATTTCTTAAGTGCCACTGCCAGCAGTGATCTCACATCTGCTGGTTGAGGCATGCTATAGTCACAATGCTTTGCTTCCTCCCTGAAGAGATACTCCACTTCTTGAGACATACTTGAGTAGATACCCTCCTAAAGAGTTTCTGAAAGCGATTCTTATTAACTGAAACTACTTTTTTCTAATAAATATTATGGTTAGATTTGGCTTTCTATATAAATTTTAACTTGTGAACATGATTCAATACAGCATAAAGATCAAGACATATACCTACTGGAATCACTACTTAGAATAGGTATGTCCAGTGCCTAACATACAGCTGGTCACAAAAGAAGGGCTAGAATATTTATTCATCTCTAACCCACTTCACCTTCAAGACTTTTAGTTGGCTTTTGGGAAACACATGCAATAAAATGATAAAATATAAACTAAAGGACATCGAAGCCAAGCAAACTATAACAGGAAGTCACTATTAAAGTGAAAAGAGGGAAAACTTAGGCAGGCAATAAGGATTCATACAGCTGCTATGACTGACTGACATATTTCACTCTGAGCTTTCCAAAGACCCATGTGAAAATGGAGACAAGGACAGTTGTATAGTTTTCACTGTTGAAAGGGAAAACATACAGCAATTGCTCAGGGAAGCAAAGTTTTCCAGTCACTTGGAGCTGTAAGAAATTTCTCACATGAGACTTCCTAAGGCAACACTGAGTGATGTAGGATAGTATCAGAATTCCCAGAGCCATGATTTCTAACTGGCAACTATGGAGTTACAGGAGGATCTTTAAGTACAAGGGTCACCAAGCATTTCTTGTAGACTGAATACTGAAGGTCTTGCACATGTATGAATTATTATTTTTCAAATATATATAGATGGCATAATGAATAAAATTCAAATACATTAAATTGTTAAAAAATGTTTATGTGTATTTTACCACAATAAAAAACTGAAAAAAAAAAAAAGTTACTGGATCCACAATAGCTTTTGTTGGTATATATGTTCTCACCTAATCAACCAAAAAATTATATTTACACTTATATAAAAATTTAGGATATTTATACCTGAGAAGTGTGAAACCATAACTTAGTAGCCAAACATTAGGCTTAATCTCTTCACATTCAGTAAACACTTGAGAATTAAAGTACATTGCTCAAAAGTTACTCCAAAATTTTATTATATAAAGTTCTAGATTTATTATTTATAACATACCAAGTAACTGGGCTGACTGGTTAGCTCAATCGATTGAGCACAGTGCTGATAATACCAAGGTCAAGGGTATGCCCTTGCAGGCCAGCCACCCAAACAAACAAAAAACAATACTATAGGGCCGGCCCGTGGCTCACTCGGTGGAGTGCGGTGCTGATAGCACCAAGGCCCCGGGTTCGGATCCCACATAGGGATGGCCGGTTCGCTCACTGGCTGAGCGTGGGGCTGACAGCACCAGGTCAAGGGTTAAGATCCCCTTACCGGTCATCTTTAAAAAAAAAAAAAAAAAATACTATAATACCCCAAGTAAGCTTCATTTCTACACTTAAAAAAACACGATGGAGAAGCAAGGCTCAGAGTGCGGTGCTGATAGCACCAAGGCCCCGGGTTCGGATCCCACATAGGGATGGCCGGTTCGCTCACTGGCTGAGCGTGGGGCTGACAGCACCAGGTCAAGGGTTAAGATCCCCTTACCGGTCATCTTTAAAAAAAAAAAAAAAAAAAAAATACTATAATACACCAAGTAAGCTTCATTTCTACACTTAAAAAAACACGATGGAGAAGCAAGGCTCAGAGATGGAAAGCATATTTTTACAGAGAAAGAAAACACTGAACTGGACTATATTTAATATATGAATGGGTTCATATATACATACACATACACACATGTTGTAGGGGAATAAGACATAGTCCCTGCCTTCAAGTAACTTTCAGGCAACCGAAGAGAGAGACATGTATTCAAACTCACATTTAAGTGCAGGCTTGGGCACCAAGAAAGGTAATAATAGCATAATGAACAAAACTTGGGGTTTATGTTCCAGGCAGCTTGGATTGAAGTTTTAGTTTTACTCTCTATCAGTTGTAAGACTTGGGCAACTCCCTCTTCCCTCAAGTCTTGGTTTCCTCTCTTGTGATATGACATACCTATCTTACGTACCTCATAGACTGGTTGTAAAAATTAAATAAACTAACAGATTCAAAAGCACTTTGGTCAACTGTAAAGCACTATTTGGGCAATAATATGCCATAAGATAATAGAAATGGAGTAAAATAAAGTATGGTAGGTATTCAGAAGCAGAAAAGATCATCAGGTGTGCAAAGGCGAACAAAAGCCCCAGTCAAGGTCTAGGATGGCCAGGAACTATAGCACACTGTGGGGAAGAAGTGGAAAATGAGGCTAAAAAGACTGGGGGTCAATGTGGAAGACCTTGAACACTGGGATAATAAAATTTGGGCTTCATCCAGCTGCCAATGGGAGGGGTGTGTTCGTGTGTGTGTGTGTACACAATTGCCATTAAAAGATTGCAGTATGTGTGTGTGTGTTCCTACATGACCTAGGGTGAGAGCAGTGAGACTAGGAAGGAAGCAACTTGTGCTTATGAGAATCCATGAACCCTATTACAAAGCTCAATCACTGGCTGGATATAGGAGAATATGGGAGAATTTAAAAATGACTTTGATTTTGAACCAGGGGCTAGGAGAAGTGATGCCATTACAAAGATAAACTGATGTCAGGAAGAGGAAGAGGAGAGGGCTAAAGAACAGATAAGACCTTGTAAGCCATGAAAAGCAACATGTAGTGTTCAATGCCCAGGCTGGATCTGACCCTGAGTGACTAGGCGTCACTTAGAAAACCAGAGGCTGAGGCTCTATGATGACTAATGGCTAGAAGACATGCTGTAGTTCTAACCTGCCAACCACTTTTTCTTTTTTTTTTGACCAGTAAGGGGATCACAACCCTTGGCATGGTGCGGCCCGCACCACGCTCAGCCAGTGAGCACACAGGTCATCCCTGTATAAGATCTGAACCCGCGGCCTCAGCGCTGCCAGCACCACACTCGCCCGAGTGAGCCATGGGGCCGGCCCTTTATTTTTTAAAAACGACCGGTAAGGGGATCGTAACCCTTGACTTGGTGTTGTCAGCACCACGCTCTCCCGAGTGAGCCACAGGCCGGCCCTAACCTGCCAACCACTTTAAAAATCAACATAGGAGTAATTAAATTCTAAGTCACACCAACACACAAATACAAGAACAACACTAAATTAGTCACTGTGCTAATTCTTTGTACATAAGATCTTGAACATGCAAAAAAGTTTAACACTCAAGAATCCTATCATTACATATCTAAAAACATCAGGAAAAAGCTGAAATATTTTGGAGCCAGATTTCACCTAATTTAAGGGCAATTATCTCTAAATCTGCCTGGGCAAAGGATATGGAATAAAGTGTTTAACTTGACAACAACCATGTACTATACATCTGGGATCAAGAAACAGCTCCAAGGCCCGTGGCTCACTCGGGAGAGTGTGGTGCTGATAACACCAAGGCCACAGGTTCAGATCCCTATATAGGGATGGCTGGTTCGCTCACGAGGGAGAGCGTGGTGCTGACACCACCAAGTCAAGGGTTAAGATCCCCTTACTGGTCATCTTTAAAAAAAAAAAAAAGAAAAAAGAAACAGCTCCAAGTTAATTACATGAATTTGTTTTGAGAGCACTACGCAATGTGGATAAATGTAAACATATTCTCCCAACAGTAAGGCTTACTTCTGGCCCTAGCTCTGTACTCCCATTCCCAGGTGGAGAAATGGAAGGAGTCAGAACTTAAAAGTAAAGAACCACTCAAATCAAAGTACATAGAACACATACCCTTAAAATGGTAGTGGTCAGCCTGCAAAACAGGAAGAATGGACACAATACAAACTAACAAAAATCAATGGTAGAGTTTGGACTGAGTCAGAGATGACGAAGAGAGGTTGATTATCTGAACAGTACAGCACTGAAACAGTTTGAGATGATTTTTTAAAAGTTTAACTAAATTTCTACTATTAGAGTAAAACTAGCAAATAGTACTATACATGCTACAGTTAGAACCCAAGGATTAGATGCAAAGTATTTCATCAGTTAAGAAAAATCAGTGTTAAAACTCTTGCTTTCATTTCAAAATTCTCTTTATGGTCTATATGTGATTTACATTCATTTTAGTGACATTAAAATCAAATAAGTTATTAAAAAATCAAATAAGTTACCCTAAGTTTGATAAAATCAAATGGTAGAAATGTGAGTGACTGATATAAGGCTTCATGTTTGTCATGTAATCATCATTTTAGATTCTGGCTCTCTCCAAGGCCATTCTTACTACAATTAATATGATTATTCATTTATTCTAAAAATAGAACACTTCTTATATGTGTAGCACTTGCCAGGGCCTAGAATATCAATGTAAGTAAGGTAGCACTTGCCAGGAAGGACTCACATCCTAGATGAGCC